AGGTGATTGTAGAAACAGAAGAGAACTAGCACTCAGTCGTACACTGGATGGAGCTCTTTGTAAACTACTTGCGCAGTAAATCATTTAGATTTTGACTGAACATTCACGTTTACCTATAAGATAAAATCAAGAAGAATAATACAAGAATAGTACTTACTTACTAATATCTACTTAAAAAATTCAATGCCAATACAAATTGACGAAGAGGTCGTTTCAATAACCATTTATTGGTACCACAACCTATTGTTGTTTAGTAACAATTGATGAAATATCGCTGTAATTATTACAGGCATCAATAAATTAGGAAGTACTGTACAGTCATGACAAACTTATTAGAAGTCGTTTATTTTTTAAACAAAACCAAAAGTTTTTTTTTTATGTAACATCAATCAAATGAATTAATGACATGTTTATCAGTACTTTCAGTAAAATTTTTGCCAACCAAGCCAGCCCAACGGGGTTTGCGGCGAGGTGGTGTGTCGGAATCGGACCGACTAAAACCACACGGTGGGCCACTCTGCGCCTGTAATAGGAGGGATCCGGGAACTGCCGTTATTAAGACATCCGGATCGCTCCTAGCGCCTGCCCGCAATTGCGCGAGCACCACCTCCGGGTACATTCTCTATTTAGGTGACGTCCGGCACACGCGGACGTCACCTCCTCGCGGCTGGCCGTTATGACGGGTGGAGGAAAAACGCGTCCCGTCCACCTGTAGCCACACTCAGGGCGGCATGAGACGCTGGTAAACGCGCCTCCGACGCCCGGTTCGCCGGCAGCGAATTGGGTCCGAGTGGAGGTCATCCTCCCAAATCCTCACTACAATCGCAGTGGTGACAGGCGGGACTTAATTCCCTCCTAGCGACCGAGTGCAGGTACTTCCAAAAGCATCCGTGACCGGAAAGGACCTGCGTCAATCGGAAGGAAAGGGTCCCGTGCTGCCGCCCTGCCCATTCAACAATGACCAGCTGGAGCGCCTCCACGGCGGCAAACCCAGCACGTCGAGCCCCCAGCCGGGACGACCAACGAGCCATCGTGGCTCGACGAGCGGCCTCGCGCCACTTGCGTACTTCTTCGGGCGGGGGCCAACTGCCGATAACCGCCTGGAACTCAGTCGTCCGCCGATATACTTTGGCAAGCACTTCCGGCTCCAAATTCCACGGGGAGTTAGGTGTAAGTCCCACGGTGCCGTAACCGCGTTGGGCTCTAACCGCCAATACCCTCTGAGGACGGCAAAGGCGCGCCCTATTTTGGGCGGTCAGAGCCGCTGCCCAATCTTAAGTTTTATCTAACGTTACCACCTTCGGTGGTTTAACCAACAGTTAACGGTATTTTCTCATAAAAACAGGTAAAAAACATTAATTTTGGAATTATTCAATCCATTATTGAGGAAATCCACGAAAACCAATTTAAAATTTATTGCATAATTTTTGAAGTCAGTTTCGTAGTTTTAGTAGAAAGTAGTATGTATTTTCTCAATAGTGGATTAAATAATTAGAAAATAAAAACAAGTGCCCGATAAAAAAAAAAAAACGGCTGATAACTTCTGAAAATTGATGCCCACAACTTTAGAGAAATAGATTTTTATTTTTTTTTGTGTTTTTGTATTTGCATGCTGGAGTTACGTCTTTTCAGCGTTTTCAATAGGTGTTCCATTTATTTATAGACACGATATATAATTGTGTATAATCTTATAAATAGATGATTTAAATGTACTAAGTGTACTTACGAGGGCTGCTATTTATGTATCCGGAATAACAAAGTGAAACAAACATATAGCATTTATTAGGTTTTTCTAATTGCTTTTCAAAATATTCGCCGTGATGATCGATGCACTTTCGCATACATTTAAACTAATTAAAACATATCACTTTTTCCATTCTGATTGTGGTTTTGAACGCATCAATAGCCTCTTCACGGCTCGGCTACACGTCACGTTTTGTTGACCACGTAATTTATTATTCACGGCAATTTTCAAAATGACGCCACAAAAGATAAACAAAATAAATGACAGCCACATGAAACAAATTGTATTCTTCAGCCAAAGAGTTCCATTTTTAAATGTTATAATTACTTTTTTAATATTTTTCTGTAACTAGCCAGTTCCGAATACATAAATAGCAGCCCTCGTAGTAGTTACTAAGATATTAAAGACCACGAGGTTTTCGTATTCAATAGTTTTAAATATGGTAATAAATTTATTACTACATCTTTCCTGGTATTAAGAAACGTATAAAGAATATTTTAAGAGTACTTCCTGTGTTAGTGTTAATAGAACCGTTGTTTCTATATGGCATTCACAGTAAATGTTTAAACGGTGATTATTACACATGTTTTAGTTGTCGGTTTGAATTTAATGAAATTAAGGTCAAAATGTGATTAGTCAATGAAAGTAAACAATTTTAATAAATTGTTTTTTTTTCATGTTTTATTAATACGGTGATCACTGATTTACTTCAAAATACTAAAGATATCTTGACCGAGGTTTGTTCTGAGTTAGTTCAGTTCGGATGACAATGCATTTTTATTATCGAAATAAGTGTTACTGAAAAGGATGTAAACATACGAGTAGTATATAATATTAACTGTACTAGAACTGTTCACAAAAGCCTGTCATAAATGTTTGTATTAAAAAGTTTGTAGAAGTCTTCCTATACCTATTCCTAAAGCGCAACGTAGGACTGGCGTTGTTACATCAACCACACGACTCTAGCAAGCGGTTACCAATGACTTTCTTACCTTTTCGTACATTGATAGATTACAAATAAAAATACATTGCAACGTAGAAAATACATTGTAGCGGTTAGATAATGTAACAGTTACAATGGTACACACATTACGAGGAAAAAATGTTTTACTAGTTTATCAGAAAATATACCAGAATCATGAATGTTGGAAGATTTTCCAAGAATGGGTGAAATTAAGTTAAATAGTATTCTTCTTCTTATAAATTTTTATCTTAAAGTTTAATTAACGAAAGCGTCCTTAAAGCATTGCGTGCGTCCTTTGCCTTGTGTTTCTTAAGCAAACAAGTTAAAGGTCTACTACTAAAAAGCAGCCTCAATTGTTATTACCGTTTGGCATTATTCTAAGCTACTACCTACAACTACACACTATCTACAAATTGGTCACGTAATTCTACATATAGGTACATAGGTGCATTAGATATTAATGTGAACATTTACCTCATCCTTGTTACAAAAGAACTGAAAAGAAAGGAAGCACAATTATAGGATTAACAAGCTTTAACATAGCACACTTAACATTAATCGTAATTTAAGTACATACTGTTTTTGCACAACAACAATTACGGGTAGCAAAGGCAGCCATGGAAGAGATATAAATAATTTAGTTTATTTTGACCTCCCTAGCATTATGGTTTTACTATCGAAACTGTGTGAAACTTTATGAAATAAAAAAAAAACATATCTGATGCTTGAGCTTAGAAATCACACAGGCGCTGATTTTGATTTATACAACATTTATTGGTTATGGTATTCTATAATGCATTTACATCTCAAAAAACTTGCATTTTTGTTGCCTATTGAGTTGTACGTAAGTTTTATTTATTCAATTTGCGAGGTTAAATTTTTGTTTTCTAAATCGCTATGTGCGTCGTGCTTAAGAATTTTTTTTTATAATTTACCTTTTTACCATTTATAAACCAAACAAATTTGCGTCAAAAAGATGAACAAAATAACTAATGCTAAGAGCATTGTAGAAAACATTTAACAATGCTTGGGTCCTCTACAGTTTACTAATGTCATATCGCATTATGATAAATATTCTAGGAACCAATTGCAACTGGTGAGACGGCGTGCGGTTATTGGTCGGTTCGAGTCCGACATAACCACCAGTGGGTAGTATATCCGAGGGGATTGGGGATTTCCGCACAGGAAAACAATCCTAATACTAAAGTAGGCATTACTTATAAAATTAAACACAATTATTGTGGGCTAACCATAGCATCTAGATAAGTATCCATATACATACGTCTTTACGATTTTTTTATACACTGTATAGACACTTTTAAAAGTACTTAACGTTATGTATAGAATTATTCAGTGAAAAAAAGTTGATCGATCATCAAACATTATTAGTATTCTGTATTGACTAGTATATTGTTTATTATGTTATTATTTTACATTAAAGATATAATTGTGTATTTCATTGCCTATTTCATCGATTTTAGATGTTTAATAGTTTTATTTACAAAATTACTAAGTACTTCAATAATTTTAAGCCTTCTACATGCTAAATTTGTCTCTAACTTTAATTCGAAGTTATATTTGTCTAGACCCAAATAAATGTGTGCCTCGAGGCAACTAAGAAAGAGAACTAACAATATCGTAAGTTCAAGCTTATCGCTCACACAGGCACAAACATGCGATACAACTTATTTATTACCTACAGACAGACAAAAATCCACGAACTAACAGCAAAAGAGGGGAAAAGTGTCAAATAGTTATTGTTATTATTATTATTTATTAATATTCAATAACACTGATTTTAAGCCTTACTGACTCATTTCATTGGTATTTATCTATCGCACGATATTACTATAAACATAGTAGTAATGACACATACCTTTATCACAATACAAAGCTCATTCAGCTCCACATGGCTAATAATAAAAAAATTCAATAAACGATAAATGATAACGCACCTGGCACAAGGTAACATGGCCGTAGATAAAAACCTGTTATCATGTCTGATATTACTTTTATTGGTAACTTGAACGGATATACCCTATTTTAAATATTTGGAACAGCGATTTCAACAAACCTTACTAATAAATAATTTATAAAATTATTTACAGCATTTCTTAATAATTTGTAAAAGCCTTTTTGTGTACCAGAACAATGATTTTAGCTACAAGGTTCTCTATGTTGAACTTTATTTACGTAAAATTTTGGCTATTCGATGATTTTATGATCAATGCCAATAAAGGCACAAAAAAGGCACTGAGTTAGTAATATTGGCATATATATTGTGCACTTTACCTGTTTGTGTTTAATTTTTGAAGAAGTCAGGTATGCGTTTTCCAGTTTTGGATTACTCGGGGCTTTCTTTGGTCTTGTGTTCTTAATACCTAATGACTTGCCGAACGGTGCGAACCAATAACTGAAACAAGAATGAATGTATTGTGATCATAACAGCTACAAGAGTTTAAACATTAAAATTAATGAATTTGCTCATATTTTTGAGAAGTTAAGTATAGCCCAATCACGTTAAGAAAACAGTGAATCATCGATCAAGTCCCACCTCTTGACCAATCAGGTTCCAAGAAATTTTCGTTTCGTTCGAAAGCTTGTCAGGGTGCGGGGTTTGATTGATGCGACACTATTGTCTATAAAACTACAGAAAAAAGAGTTCTTTGAAAAAATAAATTAAAATGTGAATGAATGATCTTTTTTTACTTTTACTTTCCGTTTAAACTGATATCTACAGTTTTACCAATAAGTCAAAAACAAATTAGTAATCATATCGTATTTAAAGGTTTTCCTATCCTGTGAGGACATTTTAACTACTTCTGAATGCTATCTAGTTATGGTTCCCGAACCGTTACACTTTCGCTATTTCCGTCTATCTGTTCTTCCGTCCATCCAAGGGAATCGTTGGATAGGTCTAATATTGCGAGGATATAAATATATTTTTTCCGTTAAATATTTATCCGTTAGCGGAATACTAAACTTGAAGTAACAATGTTTGTTGGACTCAATTGAGTTAAGCTAAGCAGTTCGCTTAAAAACTGTAAGAAAAATCGCAATGGTAGGTAGTATTTACAAAAGATTTCGGAAGAGGAAATAACTACTTGGACAAAGAGATTACTTATATAAAATGACACAAACATGACTGCTTTTTTCTAAGCAACAAACTTACGGCCAACCGGATTTGCTATCCAGCCTAACAGCCACTTCAACTAATCTTCAGCGTTTTTAATTTGTTTCTTTTTTAAATACAACTATTAGGAACGCATTAGGAATGTACCTTGTGTCGCCAGGGACTTTATAAACATACTCAAAACGGATACAAGGAACACCAAGACTTAGAATAACAATTTGTGGATCACACAAAGTGTCGTCCCACAACACTCAGCGTAGTAGTAAGCGGCGTGTCGACTGCTTAAACTTAAACTGCAATTGGCTTGGAAACGGCAAAATAAGGTTGTATGATCGATATGTCAAGTAGCAAAACATATAACTAATCTAATCAACTATTTAGGAAATATGTATTTAGTAGCAAAAAGTCTAAATATCAACGAAATAATCGTCTTTATAGCAGAAAATCTTGTTTTCGTCGGTACATCAATTTCACGTAACGTAATGTGACTAGTTACTAGGTCGGCGACACTAGTTTAGAGAATGGGAGAGGTTTGAATTCCAGTGACCAGGTGTCAATTGCCACATAACCAGTTTTGTGGACTGCCACAGTTACATCAGTGAATATCTAATTAAATTTACAGGTAAATTTCTGACTTCAATGCAGTCTGACTGCAATGCAGCAGTTTTTTTTTGGTTCTTAGCTTGTTTGAGTGCACTAATCACCGGACTGGTACACATTATCTTGGTACTGGATAGTGTATTAATGAGGAATTTTATAGTTTTTGTAGTAACTACTCTCTTCCCAAGAATCATATTATAATGTAATGTGGCCTACAATTTCCTCCAATGAGTACTTTATACAGTACAGCAACAACTTATAGACAGCTGACTAACAGATTTCAGCAAGTTTGAACAAACAAACAATCTGAAAATCTCTACAGTGAGTATAGGTTTATCCTCTAAAAAAATTAATAAATATCAAAAATCTATAAGAACATATGAAAACTTATCTGTTGTGATATCTGTTACACAAATTTACCATTGTAGGTAGGTATATTTATTACTTTCTTCATGACTCACTTTTTAAATAATATTAACTCAATTCAATGTATGTTATACCCCCCCCATAATATGTAACACAGACATTTTTGTCTTAAAAATTACATATACAATAATTCAATCCAACTTGCACCATTACATGTTATGAAAACATATAGTAAATTAGAGAAGATTTCTACACAGCGAAATTTGAGGATTTTTTAAATAACATCATTACAGATTCAAATAAAAATTCAATTTCAATATTTTAAAGAAATTGATCTAATTGATTTAAAGAAATGATTTAGAATTTCTTTAAATAAATGTCCTTTAAAAATATCTGATTTAAATTTATTCAATTCCAAATAATTATCATGCTTAACTTTCTCCACACTATCATCACAAAGTCAGTGCATTCCTAGATTTTATTTATCCGTGAGAAGCACTGACACAATTAAAATGTTATAGCGCAAAAGTAGGTAACTCACGTCTCTAGCACGCGTCGCAACAATAAAAGCACCAGTGCTAAGGGCAGGGGATAAAACAAATGTCTGTAATCGTTGTAAACCACTGCTTTGTCAGGACCCGGTGCAAGATCTTCCCATGATGTGTTCGGCGGTAACCATATCCTTTCATCCCAAAATGTGTCTAGCACCGACCGCCACATCATTATTAAAAATTATCGTTTACTCACAACCGCGGTCAAACACTATTACTATCACTCAGAATACTAAATTATCACGCCATAAACACACTCTAAAATATTTATCGACACAACCGCCCGACAGCCGACATAACATGACACAGAGCTGAAAGTTGACACTTGACAGTTGACTGACAGCAACCTATTTTAAATTCAACTGTCCTTTTTTGGATATTTCTTGACCTGCTAACTAAGATTTTAAGCCAATCTTCAGATTCAGATTTATTAATTGCGAAACATAAACAGTACATTGCATTAAATCAATAAAGGTATTAGAACAATCCATATTTATTATTTTATACCACCATAGGCATGCAAAATACAGTAAATATGTCAACAATCTAGCTTATTAACATGCAAATTTATCTATTTTATCATATAATAACAATTGAATGAAAATGGGTTTATCGGTCTCATGAAGTTGCAACCAAAATGTCACTAATAAATTTACTCAAAAATAAGTAGGTTTTGCATCATGCTTAAATTATCTGATGCTCATAGCGATTTTGATAATTTATTAGATACCCTTTTAGACATGCTTAAAAAGCTTTTGTTAAATATAGCTTTTAGTGTTGTCCGAACTGTATTTTATTTTTATGTTGCATACTGTTAAAAGTGTCTCAAACAAATGAAAGTTATTAGTGCTATTAGTCGCACATATTGGCCGGACGCATCTCTTCTGGGCTCTGACTACTGTTTCGACATTTGAAGAGTTACCCTAGTAAGCTGTTATCAGCGTTATCTGAATTGTTACCTTTGACAAATGATATATTGGGTATGAGTATTTTCTCAAACGGTTACGTATGCTATTTTTATATGTTTGCCAAGTCAGGTCCCTATCCAATTTAAGTCCTAGGTTAGAGTAGATTTAGTTACCAAAATTATATTAAGTCAAGTTTTATATTATTAGTCATCTGTTCAAATTTCATAATTTTGATTCAGTCAAAATTATTTTTTAAGTTCTTTAACTGTATCCAATCACTTAATTCACTAAGACGTGTTGCCAAAGAACAACCAGCTAATACAATTTTACGGTGTCGTAAAAGGGTATTAGCTGGTTGTTCTTTGACTGGACTCACAGACTCGATTAATGCGCGTAAGTTTTTCACGCGTATTCTTAGTCCGTCACCACACATACCACACCACCACCTCACATATGAATATTATTTTCAAATAAAATATTAATTAGCATGTTACTCTTTGTAAGCATAGTTTGAATTTGTAATATCTGATTCCTGCTTAAAAAATTTACTCACAAGGTACTCCAGATAATTTAACAGAAACAGTGAATACCATTAACAGGGACTTAGTTCGAATATGTAACTGGAGTACGGAGTACGGACTCAGTGTAAACCCTTCGAAAACACAAGTCATTATAGTAGGAAGTCCCAGGCTGCACTGTAAAGTAAACCTTCAGCAGATACCACCTATATCCTGCAACGGTTCGGTTGTCCCATATAGTGAAAAAGTTAAAAACTTGGGGATCTATTTGGATAGGTACCTATCCTGGGGTCCTCAGATTGGAGAAGTTAGTCGCAAACTATTTGCAGCGGCGGGATCTCTGCGAAGGCTACGCAACTTCCTTCCTACCAATACCAAAATTGCGCTCGCACAATCTCTTTTTCTTCCCATCCTTGACTATGGCGATGTCAGCTACCTGGATCTCACCGAAGACCAACTGAATAAACTTGAGCGACTCCAAAACCTCTGTATTAGATTCATATTTGGTTTACGCAAGTATGATCACATCTCAGAGTATCGTTCCAAACTCAAGTGGCTACCAATACGCCTTCGCCGGAATCTCCATATTCTTTCTCTTTTATACAGTGTTCTGTTTCATCCTCACACACCCTCTTATCTCAAAAAACGTTTTGAGTTCCTACACACCACACATTGCAGGGACCTGAGGTCATCGGAGAATTTAAAACTAAAAATGCCAAAACATTCCACCCAGTTTGCAGATAAATCTTTCACTGTGCAAGCAGTAAGACTCTGAAACAATCCGTCAAGCTAAAACTTTGCCTTTTTTTTAAAAAATATTAAAAGATTTTTATCTGTCATTATAAATACTGTTCTGATTCCCTATTTAATATATTATATATTCCAAATATGTATGGGTATATGTGTATGTATGTATGTGTATTTGTATATGTGTAATGTCCATAGATGTATATTTGTGTATGAATGTGTTTGTTTATGTTTGTAAATATTTTTAAATATTCACGTGATATTGTGTTACGTGTATGTATACTAAGCTAAATTGTTAAATACCTAAAATCCATGATAAGGTTGTCTGGAAGAGATCGCTGTGAGCGATAAGACCGCCGATTGTTACTTTTACCTATTTGTAACTCATTTTTTGTTTTGTTTTTTTTTCTATTAGTGTATACAATAAAGATATAATAATAATAATAATAAAAAATTAAAAGACAGTTTAGTTTTGTTTGTTTTTAGTTTTTGTATATTCTGAAAATGTCACTCTGATTATAAATTCAGGCTACTCATGCTACTGATCAATGCAACTTCAAACTAAAAAAATAAGTAAACTTGATCTGACTAAACTGACTAAACACTATTTTTACATCATGATAACACGACAACCCACGAAACGTCATTTCAGTCTATTTAAAGGTTTCCTCAGTAAGAGTGCACTTTTTCATTAAAAAAAAACACGTATTTTATGAACGAGTTGTGATATTTATATTGGATTGTAAAGAAGATATATTCCGATAAAGTATAGAATAAAATGTCCGGCAAAGGGCCCCCACGGCTCAGATGGCAGGCCATCACTCTTTTCGTGACATTTTCCATGACTTTTACACAGAGATGTGGCTGTATCTTACCGATGACGCGTTGGATCTCTGATTTGAGCTCAGGAATTGTTTAAATTTATTCGTATAAACCCGAGGTTTCACAAAACCCCAAAGAAAAAAATATCACGGTGTTAAGATCCAGATCCATGCCGTCCAGTTGAGGCCACAAGAACTCCGATATCATATTCCTGTAACGAATGCCGTTCATAGTTTACAGCCTGACCAACATTCGCACAGACAGATAGTTGCTCGTTGTGGGTGCATTTGTTTCTCATGGATTGCATTTGATCAACAATACCATGAACATGTAATATTTAATCCTCCCTTTTAAGGCTCTCCTGAAGGCGACTACTGGCTGGACATAGATCTCTATCTATCTCCAGCCAGTAGTCAGCCAGCCAGTCTCCAGCCATGAATATTTTGCTGGGAAAATAGTACCATAAAGTACTATTTGCATAGTCAGTGCGTGGTCCTAAAAGAAAGGGTATTCAAAATATCGAGCCATAGACTATGCCATTTTTTTTAAACATTGTCTAGTGTCTCAGTCTATATCATAGATGTGATATATGTCTAACGTCCAACCAAAAGTCATTTCTGTCACAACAGTGTAAATAACTTAACTCATGTGCACTTCTGTTGTATAATCCAGGAAATATTTAAAGTTTGTCATCATATTTTGACTATGAACGATAAATAGTTAGTAATAACCAAGATTTTTATTTACTAGGTATACATTTTCACCAAGCAGATTTAATGTATTGATAATTTAAAGCGTTGAAGACTTGGTTACGAATACATCATGTTATTCTGCCCAACATGTGCCAATGTTCTTATGGTCGAAGAAGCTCCAGAATCTGGACTGCGGTACGCTTGCAACACTTGTCCTTATGTGTACAATATTAAAAAGAAAGTACCATCGCGTACATTCCCTAAATTAAAGGTTAGTTGCTGTGCGCAGCATTAATCAGATGACCAACGGTGTCTTTGCCCATTAACTTCTTAGCAGGAGGTATGTTTAACGTTACTGTAAACTTACTTAAAACATATTTACTTGTTTCAGGAACTTGATTATATTATGGGAGGTGCCGCTGCTTGGGAGAATGTAGACTCGACTGATGCTGTTTGTCCCAAATGTGGCCACGGAAGGGCTTTTTTTATGCAACTACAAACTCGTTCAGCTGATGAACCTATGACAACATTTTATCGATGTTGTAATCACAAGTGTGCACATAACTGGCGTGATTAATCTTCTTTAATGATTAAGAATGATAACTTATATTCAGTAATTGAGTATGAATTATTTCCGAAAGTTGAACTTTTTATCTAGTGCATTGGTTAGAAATAAAGGTTTATTACCAAAAATGAAAATAGAAAAAATGGCTCTTGTAATATCTAGCTTTCAAGAAGAAGCTGCTACTAAAGCTGCCCAGTTTTTAATAAAAGGCGATGTTATTGCAGTACCAACTGATACAATATATGGACTAGCATGTAGTGCTAATTGCCCAGATGCTATTAAAAAGTTGTATGCCATTAAAGGCAGGGATTCTGCAAAGCCTGTGGCTATATGTGTATCGTATATATCAGATGTTCGAAAATGGGGTGAGGCAGATCATTTAACTGATGATTTACTCAAGAGATTGCTACCAGGACCTGTCACCATTGTTTTAGAAAAGTCAAAATGGCTTGATAACCCATTTTTAAACCCTGCAACTACTAAAATAGGAATCCGAATACCTAACCATGATTTTGTTAATGAGTTAACTAAAATATTTGATAAACCTGTCGCATTGACAAGTGCCAATTTTAGTAATGAACCCTCAACATTGTCTATAAAGGAATTTGGACACCTTTTTGGACACCTGGGTGCTGTTTTCGATGGAGGAATATTGAGTCAAGGTTTGGATCACAATAGAACAGGTTCTACTGTTATTGATTTGTCAAACCATGGGTTCTACAAAGTCATAAGAAGAGGAATTTCCTACGATCAAGTTGTAAAAATTCTGGATATTTATGGCCTTAAAAGTAGTTTATGTTAAATTTCCTGTGATAGCTTTATGTTGTAAATAAATATTCTCATATTATTATTGCATTTTATATATCAGTTTTTATAAATGTGATTTATAAAAAGTGGAATGACACAATGAGGAACAAAGTAACATACATATATATAATAATAAATAATATCTCACACATAGCCATCTGATCCCAAACTAGGTAAAGCCTGTACTATGGTAACTTGATAGCTTATATTAATTTTTAATACATATTATATACAAATAATCTAAGCAATGTAGATAAAAGCAATCTTTGAAATGGGTTGTCTTGTGTCAAAACTGAGTTTTTGAAACACACAAACTAATGTTAAGATTTATATAAATATATATATATATGTTTTAACAAGTTCATAAAAAAATAAATAAAGTAGTCATATTGTAATTTAAAGTGCAGTTTGTTTTAGATGATTAATTAAAACACAATATTTGAAAACGAATTTATATTTCGTACAATAACAAGAACGAGCATTTTAATCTTTGAAAATAAAATTGGCCAATAACCATCAAAGAATTAAAATTTACACTTTACAATGCAATGTACTTGTCATACCATGTTTACGTTTATTGTCTATCTGAGACTGGTTCTTTGAGTTCAGAAGGATCTTAGCAGGATATTCTCAGGCATTTTGCTATTTTTTTAATGGATTCAAACATTGTTCTGCTCTTCTGTAATTTAGTCCTTAAATCACGAAAAATTAATCTTGAATTACACATTTCATTAGAAGTGTCTAATAAATATGTTTATGAATATGGTCTCTCTCTGTTAGGTACTAGCACCAATGTCTGGTGGATATTAACATTTGACTTAAGTTTAACACAATGGGTATATAAAGACAGGGTCTGCTGCTCAAACAATTGAATTTTAAAAACCACCTCATACAACATTATATATACATGACAAAAATATGAAAAAAAAACGTCATAATTACATCATTTAGATACTTGGAACAATAGGAAGAAGAGGTAAACTATCATTCTTTGAGATACAGATTTGAGCTAATTATTAAATAAATAATATGGTAATATTTACACAGCAATAAATACAGAGGATAATTTAATAATTACACATATCTAAATTTAATTGAGAAGTTCTTGAGATGCCAATAAAAAAAATTCACTTGTGTCCTACCACTAAACCTTTAAATTTTTAATGTGATTTAAGCACTTCTAGGTTTTAAGTGTGATGTACAGCTGTGGTAAGAGGTTTCCTGCTACTCGGCAGTTTAGCTTCTAGTCTTTGCCATCGATTAGGTGGCCAAACAATATAAGATGCTTTAGCATTGACTAAACCTAGAGAAACAGGCCCAAAAGTATTGCTGTCCAATGTATGACCTGTGTGATCACCTTCCACCCAACAGTGCCCTTCAGGAATTTTCACATATTGAGACTTATAACCCAAGGTGCTCACTATGTCCCCTTGCAGCGCAACGATACGTTTTATGATCTTCTGATTGGGATCTTTCGGCGACACAAGTGATATCACGTCACCTCTTTGTACGTTAAAATCTTTAACTGCCCATCTTGAGAGAAATACATAGTCATTGTTGCTCTTGGAATCTGGATTAAGCACTGGTTGCATGGATATTCCTTCCACTCGAGCTACATATCCCACTGTGTCTAAGAAGGTTATACCGATTGGTACACCTAGAATGATGGACTTGCATAAGCCTCTGAACCACATTAATGCACTAGATCTCGATTTTTAGTAGAAATATATGACATGCATAATCGGTTCAGAATACAGGTACTATTTTTTACGATTTTGGTAACATTTTTTAATACTTTTTAAATTGAGGTAGTTATGAATTGATAGGACTCATGAAATAATAATAAATTTTATTGTAACATTGACACCTAAAATACAACTGTCAGATCGATTTGTCAAATATTTTTAAATTATTTTTAATCTGTGGATGTTTCATTGTCTATTCTGTAACTTCGTATCGAGAATATCACCTTTGTCACGTCACGCTCATTCACTACTGAATGACCATAAAGAATGGTTTCGTTCGTTCTTCACAAATACTCAAAAAAGAAGTGTTGATGCTTTCTATAGTAAATTACAACCAACCAAACAGAATTTTTGGACATTTTATTTGTGTGTAACAAGTATAATATCAATTGAATTTAGCAATATAAGTTTATGTTATTCATATTAGGGACTTGAAAAGTAAACTGAAAACACTTGTTAATAGATGGACGTGTTTCGTGGTCGAGAAAAACTTACAATCTGCATAATCAGCTGTCAGTGAGATAGATCATCTGTCCCTGTAAATATAAAAGCTAAGACAATCACAACACTTTTTGGTTTCATATGTGTATATGATGAAGTAAACAAACGAGCTACAATGTGACCCTGGCTGCGCTCGCTACAGGCAGCGATTTCGAAGGTGATATGGGGTAATAACCTATCAGTGGAGTGAGGCTGGTTACGGTATGGCTGGGCTACCGTAAGACGTAAGCAAGAGTTTCAGAACTGATACATAGGTAAATGCTGAAATATGTCCGACGATTACCCGTTCGCCGCAAAAATCGTGAGTCCCGTGAAGTGCAATGAAAAGCCTTGGGACCTATGGGTCAGTGAAATAGGCCACTTGTCACCGCGGCGGGATGATGATGCTGCGTTTACTTCACCAGCAGCGGTGGATGCGAAAGGCGGCGCATCTGTCCGCCGCGTTCACGACTCACATCCCTATAAGCAGGGAGAGACGAGGCATGCAAGGTATCGCCGTGCAGGCCTCAACCGTCTTAAGTATGAGAGCATGAGTCTCCATGGACTGTTTCCTCAGATGGACAAGTTGAATGCTGCAGTGTGTCATATGTGTGGAGTAATAGTGAAGTGTAGTGCGGCTTACAGACACTTACTTGAATCCCATACTGGTAGTGAGCCCCTTTTACCACCTCCGCCACCTGCCTCCACAATAAAAAGCCGTAGTCGACATAAAAAGGAAGCTCCACCACCTCCCATCCCTGTAGATATACTCCCAGTGAAAATTGAACCTTCCACAGTACACGCTACAACTCCTCCATTATCAAGGATAGTTTTGCCACAGTCGGATTTGCAGTATATGGATGAGGCTAGCACATCCTCTTCGGTCACTCCAGAAGTTAAGGTGTGTATGGAGCGAGGAGAGATTCCAGTTGTTAGTATACAAGACACAGAGGACCTGCCCCTTGGTGAGAACATAACCGATGACATTTTTGCAATAATGAACTCTGAAGGGATTCAAAGCGCTGATGATATAACAAATGCAGCTGACTGGAAAAATATAATCAGAGATATTGGAAACATGCAAGAAATTAATTTTCCCCAACCGACTGATAATGTACAAACTCAAGATTTATATGCACCTATACACACACCATCCTTAGCTTACACTTTAACTGACACAGATCTCTCAAACCTACAGTTCACACCAAATGTTTCATCATCTCCAATGTTGCCTACGGGGATAGACACAAATGTACTGAATACCCAAGCTTTAAAACCGGTAACAACGCCGAGTACGCCATCAACAAAGTCGTCTCGATCGAAGTCGAGTAAAACGAAGTTTAATTTACGAGAATACGATCCGAACAAACACTGTGGTGTAGTTACTGCAGAGAACCCAAAGCCGTGTACAAGATCACTTACATGTAAAGCGCATGCTTTGTCACTCAGAAGAACGGTTGAAGGGCGCTCTAAACCCTTCGACACTCTACTGGCGGAACATCGAGCGTCACGGGACGCAGGGGCGGCTGCCGCGGCAGCAGCGGCGGCCGCACCTGTCCTCCCCGCGCCTGCACCACCTCCCGTCGCGCCGCCTGCCGCCGTTCCAATCAACCTCCCACCGCTTCTAGTCAATAACACAATAGACCTTGGCTCGTTTAACGGCCTGACGGCAGAACAGCAGGTCAATGATATCTACGCAAGTTTACTCAGTGTAGAGGATCCAAACTCGGTGCTACCTGATACTTCGAGCATCACTTCACTGTTGAGTCAGCCGCTTGCAACAGATCCCTTTCTGATGCCTGATGATGCGGATATACCACCCGAGGTACCCATCCTTAGCATAGCCTCACCAGTGGAGCGGCTCCCGTTGCGGACAGATGAGAAAATGGACGAAGGGCCGGTGCCACTGGTTCCTGCCGATGTGTGCTGGTATTCTTCGTGCCCGCGCCCGCTTGCGTTGTGCACATTCAACGCATCACATGCGGGCGGCGCGATCACATTAGGTAAAAAATTCGCGACAGTGCGGAGTAATATAAAGTCGTCATTGTCGCGATCGCAGTGCAAATCGTCAGGTGTTGTGAACAATTACTACAATCAGAACGCAATGTCTTTATCCAAAAGTGTACATATGAACACCAGTAAAACTAATAAGCCCGAAGTGCGTAAATTGATAGTGACGTGTAGTGGCAGCGGAGTCGGTGGGGTAAGCGGGGTAAACACAGGGGCCAAGGAGATGCAGCACACGTTGAGCGAGCTATTCGGAGGCGCAGAATTAAGGCACGCGCTTAACGGTCACGTGGAACGACGAAATCGCGGGCCCGCGATCAAGCTCGCGCCAGGTAAGCGCCCGCCGCCTGCCGTTCTCGACCTCGGCTTCTCGCTCGACCCGCTGCTCGCCGACGAAAAATGCTGAGCACATTATAAGCAATCACCGGTTGTGTAGTCACATAATAATGTATATTTATTTTTCTGTAAAGAATCGAATCGGGTTCACAGTATGTAAAATAATCACAAATTGTCCCGAACGGAATTTAATGTTACGATAATGTTAAATCTCATTTCTTTTCGTCAAGAAGCGAATTAATGTTTGTATTATTTTGTATATTATTTTTAAGTTTAAAAAAAAAACCTTTTCCGATACGAGATTTCGATTCAAGATGTGTCAATGAATAATTAAAAACTAGATTATTACAGAATGGTTGTATTTTTTCGAAATGACGTATTACTCATTGTTGATACTGAATTGAATTCTGATAAATGGCCTAGAATAAATAATGGTTTAATGTGATGAAAATTTCCATGTAAAAATATAAATACTATTAAAATAAGTATATCCATAATAGTAAATCGCCTCCTTTTGAAAATAAAGGCAAATACCTCAATAACTAAAATAACTTGTTTTAATTAACCAGTTTGAACCTACCTAATCTTTATAGATCTAAGTTATATCCGACTCGCACTATGAATAAACACGTCTCCCACGGATGTTTTTATGAATCTATTGGCCTTCGTTTGGCTAAATTCGAATTATAGACTAAATCCTATCTTTATCTTTTTTTTTCATCAGGTGACCCGCCTGCTCGTTTTCCCCTCTTGCATAAAAAAAATTTCATTAACTTCCATGTTATCTTTTAATCAATACAAACAAGTAAAATTACAACACAATAATACACACATCAAAAAAGTCTAAGCAACATGTACGGTTTTGAACTTCTGAACGATTTTTACTATTGTAATATTTCATTTCCTTTATAAATAACTAGCTGACCCGCGCAACTTCGTCTGCGTCTCTCAATAGAAATAAATTTAAGTTTTTGAAACATTCTTCATTGGTGCTCCGCTCATATTGGTCTTAGCGTAATGATATGTAGCCTATAGCCTTCCTCGATAAATGGGCTATCTAACACTGAAAGAATTTTTCAAATCAGACCAGTAGTTCCTGAGATTAGCGCGTTCAAACAAACAAACAAACTCTTCAGCTTTATAATATTAGTATAGATAACAGCATAATTTGATGCATTAGTGACTAAAGCAACAAAACCCTTAATTTAATCACAACAATTAACACTATGTGTACCGTAACATACGCGGTGTAAAATATTGTTAAAACGAAATTAAACTTTTCTTGTTTTACAAAATTAAATAACGACCTTTTTTTAATTATTTGGTAATTTAATACAAAGTGTGTCCGTGTGCGCCTCTGTTGATGGAAACTTGTCGGCAATGATATTTCATTGAATTTATAAGCTTATTTATCTGATCCTACAGCAATCGCTCCCAATTGAATTTTAACAAGTCTTTCAGTTGTTGGGTTGCTCTCTGGTGCTACGAGCTGTGTGCGAACACATTGTCATGCATCAGCGTCGTCGTCGTGCTCGTGGGTTCTCATGGCTTGCTGGATAAACACCGCTTGAGAATTGTAGCTTTAAACATATCGCTTATCATGCATGTATAGGTCCTGTTGAGCAGTACTCCTTCCACCACCTGGTTGTTTCTCAGCATGATCCCCTGTATTAACATAACGCTGCCAAAGACGACAAATCATGCTCCTATTGACACCAAAATGCCGAGATACCTGGGACTGATATCTTAGCGGGACCGCGACCTGGTCGCACCGGAGGCAGTGCAGTCACGCGACGTAAGCGAGAAGCACATCAAAATGGCGGTGTTTTCCCCGAAACCCTAAGAAAAAATAAAATATCAAAGAAAATAATAAAAAACTGCGTGAGAGGTATATGGTATGGACCCCCGGTCGGAACAAAGTTCCTTTCGCTTTTTGGTAGACGTTGAAAAGACTATACTATATATATATTATATAGGCCGTACGGCCCGACGGCGACGCGGCGACGGCCGCCTTGCCCCGCACTTTAAACATCTTCTGAAATATTAATTTTAATGATATGCTGTAAAGGGCAATTTTAGTCTACATTAAATATATCTAACGTATTTAATTATATAAGGAATAACGTATTTAATATATTGTTTAAAATAACTTCGAAACAGCCCATTATTTTGTTGTAATATTTAAAAGATAAAAATGGTTACTAGTTTATCTCTATGAGATGACATATACCATCGCAGACTTTTTTAAACAAACAATTCTGTAATACATTATTTTGGTCTATCTCGTAAGGTTTAGCCAGCGATTGTAAAAACACAAAAGCATGTTTTTTACAAATCTTTGAAATTCTCGGCTTTTCTTTACTAAAATATGCACGTATCATACACATCCCTCTTAAATCAGTAATAATAAGTAATAGGTTTGCCGTCTTTTTGCAGGACACCAGCACTGCAAAAAGACGGCAAACTTGACACAAACCCTATACCAGTGATATATATATATATATATATTAATATAATATATATATATATGTAATTAAATACATGACACAATTTAATTATACGCACATAAAAAAAGTCTAAGCAGCACGCATCATTTACAGAAACTGCATGTTATTGGAACGAGGTTCCTCATTGCGTGTTACACGGAGCGGATGGGAGCGAGACCAAAAAATTCCGTAACAAGACTTTTTTGACCACTTCTTGCTATAGTACGCTTAAATCTTTTAAACTAAGCAACGGCTTTTTATGCGGTTTTTACCATTAAAGATAGTATATATATACGACGTTATGTTTATATAGTTGCAATAAACGAAAATAATACTAGCTCGTGAATCATAACACTACTGACCTTATCTCGTTACAAAATAGGATTTAAGATTTGTTTTAATATCACCAAGTTGGCGAATAGTTGTAGCGTATATAGATCGCGTGCTTATAACTCTTCCCTCCTATGCGTTCCCTACAAATGAGTCAATATTATTCGACGGCAGTCTTCATTGGGAATGGAGGTACGATTAAAATCGAGCGGCTATTATACAAAAACTTGTGCCTTATGGCCCTAAGCTATTTACATAAGTAAGTACAAGTAATGCATCGTCAGGCGCAATAACATATCGTATAACTGTTTTTGAGTGCAACAGGGGCACTAAAATTTTATAGCACACGACGTGTATGTAACAGATAATGCAAGACGATATGGTTCAATCGCTAGAAAAAGGTTTAGCAATCGGAGCTCAAGGAGCTTGACTCGTGTATATAATTCTCAAATTTTATATGTTGTACTTACATGGGTCTATTGTACGTTCTACATATTGTAAAGGTACGAAGTTACGAACCATACCGAAGTCATACCAGCAGCGAAGGAGCTAGACATTTTAGACAACGGTTTTTAGATGGTACTGCGTCGCGATTTAAGCGGCACATACCTACTAAATAAGTTATAAATATATTGTCATTTCTACCGCTTAGTGTGCGGAAACTTCTCTCTGGGTAGGAATCCCTAGGCCTACCACAGATTATTAGTGTCGTAGCACCGTGTATTTCAGTCAATTCGATTGCGTTTTAGGAACGCTATGTTCGACTGGCCTGGCAGGTGTGACTAGTAAGGAAGGCCTTGGCAACTTCGGCAGCCTAATCATACTTCTGCCACTGCCTTTTCACCAACTTCGCTCCTGGACTAGACAACGTCCTTGTGAATCACACAACCGGAGGTGGAAGAACCCCACGGCTGTAGATAGTCTACACTGGTGCTGACTGAAGTCTCACCACGACTTACTTGCAGATTGATCAGTCTTAGCAGACAAGACATCCAGATAGTTGTAAGAACTATAACGAGACACCACCCGTGAACCGACAACTATTCACCATTAATTTCGTTAATTTCGTTCTTCACCTATGCAGTGGGTGGTGTTCAGCACCTAATCAGTGCGCTAAAAAAAATTATCCATTAGAAGATTATGGTGACTGTCTAGTGGACCAGTGCCGGACTTGTACATCACAACTACTTACCAAATGTCACAATAGTGACTGCAGATTCAATTGCCAAGAATTGCAACCAATGATGGAGAAGAATGGAGATGGATGGAGGATGGAGAATAACCACGACTGGTCAATCGCTCTTCACCATTGCTTCTCCACGACAACGCGCGAGTTCACACTTCTCGAGAGACCATCGCAAAGCTAAAAGAGTTACAGCTGGAAGTTTTCCGTCACCCACCGTACTCACCGCACCTTGCCCCAACCGATTTCTAGGTGGCAAGGTAGGGCAAGCGACCTGTTGGAGCTGATCTGGTCTCAATCGGTTCGTATCTCCAAAGCATTTGAGATGTCTCGAATCAATTGATTCAGTGAGTCCTTTAAATAACTTGCTTTAGTTTTCACGGGCGCGTTCGTCCTTAGGCCACTTTCTCGACCTCGGGCCACCCAAGGTCGAGAAAGTGGCTAGGTTCTGTAGGAATGTCAAGCTTTGAAGATCTTAAGAGGAGCGGTCGAGCTTGCAAAGTTAGAACACCATCGGTCATCAAAGCAGTAAAGGCGCGAATCCAACGGAATCCCGTGGTAAACAAAAAATCTTAGCTCTTCAGATGGGGCTCAGCAGAACCACGATCTAAAGAGTGTTAAATGAAGACCTGGGACTACGAGCTTATCGTAAAAAGACTTATCTTCTATTATCTCTTATCGAAAAAAAATACCGCAACATTTTGTTTTCGGATGAAAAAAAAATTTACCATCGAAGAAAGTTATAACAAACAAATTGATAAAGTATGCCCACAGCAGTGTAGTGAAGAAGCGAGTCTGGTGTAAAATTGGATATTCCAAGATACGACAAAATCGCTTTGCCGTCGATATGAGTTTTTAAAGTACCTACCTAGGTAATCACTACACTTATACAGATACTATTCAATAAACAATAATTTTAACTTTTGAATTACGCTACAGAGTCTGCTGTCTAATCTAGGGGATCCGCGGGAGGAAATTCGCCGCCTATACTGTGCGGTGATACGACCCATGGCCTTCTACGGAGCGCCAATATTGACTAAGCGCCTATCGGCTTTCTCCCGGTGCCAAACTCAGCGCAATCAAGTGCAGCTGGTTGCGAATATTCGGATCGTACGAGGATAGGATACCGCACAATCTCCTCGGAGGCGGTGACAGTCCTGGCACGTTTGGTGCCTTTAGATATTCTGGCGGATACGGACACGAGAGTCTATGACTAGACTCTTGCGATCCGTCGGCAGGGAGGTTCAGGACGAGCTCGAAATGCGGGGAAGCATTCATCCACAAGCACTGATTCAAAGGCGCGCAACTGGACCAGCTCGAAATGTGCGCGTTTTATGGTGCCGTTCTGCGTAACTGCGAAGAGTGGGAAAATAAGGATGCAGGTCGCGTTAGCTACGCGTTAACTACCACCGATCGGACTTGAGTAGTCTTGACGCGTCCGTCGGGGCCTCCGCCCACCATGCGCAAGAGAAATACCCCGCGTGAGTTTCTAAACGGGAGGTCCTGCTGGATCGAATCAGATGAGTTTTGTCCCCGCCAGGCCGGCCACAAAACATAGGTAGTGATTGAGCCAAAAGGAGGGGGGAAACCTGGGGCTTCTTCCGGGATAGGACCTAGTTAAGAGCGGCGTTGATCCGGGATAGGACCTAGTTAGGTCTGGCGTTGATCCAGGAGAGACCTGAAATAACATGGTCCAGATACTCCCAGAGTTGGACACCTGAGGCCGGATGTCGGGCGGGTATTAGAGGACACATTACATACTTCTAACTCTAGTCTCCTAAGCGCTAGAGATCCTAGGGGCTTTTCCAACCCGTTAACAAAAAAGGCCCCTAATTAGTCCCCCCAGGGCCCCAAAAATTCACAATCCGCCTCAGTGACGGATGTAACGGTCGCGGTCTTTAAAGGTAGTTACAATAGCCTCGCAGTCGCACTTAAGATACGGCTTCTTAGGAGGCCCGAAACTTTAATTAGACATCTGTGGTAAAGTCTGGGGGCATCGCATTTAAAGGAGTCTCGTGAGGCCCCCCCAATCGCGAGGCTGTGGACGACGGCCCACTTCCCCCACGCTTAGCTACGCCATTGGACGGCGCTCTTTTTTTCACATAGAACGGCGCGTGTTTTTTACTTGGAACCGGCCGGAGCCCACCAAGCCGTTTCACAAACATCTTCTGGAAAAGCACCGAAGCGGAAGCGCTCGGAATCGGATGGTCGAAGTAATAAGCATAATAATATGTATTTACTTTTTACATCATGATTTATATCTTAACTTATTTTATAAGCAGTTTGTGTAATAACTTGTCTACCAATTTTAAATTAGATTTTTTATTTTAGACTACTACTGCTTCATCACTCTTTATTAATAGTAGGTATAATTTACACCTTTTTTCCGTACGGCACTCCCCTCGGATACCATCCACCAGTGGGTGATTATGTCGGACTCGAACCGACCAAAAACCATACGGCGTCTCCAGGTACCAGTAGCCGGGGAACCAGGTATACCCTAGAAAGGAAAGCTCTGGTACCGCGACGTTACTCGGGCCATATACGACTTATAGATGACCCCTCCTGTGTGGGAACCCGGATGTTCCCTTCCTGCCCTGAAAGTCGTGCGCGCTCCGTAGTGCGTCTCGCCACCATCCACCCCGTCCTACTTTTGGTAGTGACAGATGGCCTCACCTGTCACCCCCAGGCCTGCGTTTACTGAGGACGGAGGTCGCTCTACTACCTTCGGCGTCCGAGCCGTCTGCGGTACCTGGCCCGTTCTCGGGCCTGGGTGGCCAGGAGGGTTCTGAACCTCTCCCGGTCTAGCTCCACCATCTCCTTCTGCTCGCAGAAGTAGACGGCAGAGTACCACGTACTCTCGCTCGGCACCATGGCCGCAATCATGTTACCGAGCGAGAGAACTCCCACCACGCCACGAGGCCACGCCTCTGCTCCACCCACGCCGGGCATTCTGCTAGTGTGTGGAGCGCCGTGTCCACGGTCCGGCCATCGCAGTGGCGGCACCCAGGCGTTGGCTCCAACACAGGTGATCCCCGAAGCATCCTTTTCCATTGATCACCTGCGTCAACCAGTATGAGAGAGTAATCCGTGATGCGTCTCGAGCCAATCCTCCATAACCGCCGCGATAACGGCGTGCCCATAATTCAATTTACCCTAGCAATGTTGCCGAAAGTCAGATAGCTTAGCTAGACAAGATACGTCCTAATAGGTAATGTATAATAGTGTACAAGAAAAACAATAGTGTAAATTTACTTTTTCTTTATTTTTACATAACGTTAGTGTAGGTATTACTGTTAGAATCAACACTTTCATATAAAATATCACGTTAGTTGGAAGTTGTTTGAATTCAGGTATTTTAATCAGAAAAAATTTCATGTAGGCCAAAAGTCATCAGCGTTATCTATTACAGTTCTCTATACAATAGCTAATATTTATTCAAGTTTATTTATAATAAAGTTTCGTAAACTCTAGACTGAAAGACACGGCATTACATATATAAATTATTTTAAACACGATGTACATAAACTTCCTGTGCATATATAAAATAATCTATACTTTAATTGAACGTAGGAATAATAATCATTATTTTTTTTTCTTATTTTTACCAAGCTTCGTTTTTGCCTTGACGATCCCTTTGAACTGTTTACTGTTGACAGTCTTTTTCCTGTAACAAAAAAAAAACATCCAATTAGTTCTAGTCTTCAAAAAACATATTGTAAGTTGATTTTTAATGTTACTCGCACGCAATTTTAAATTTGTTTGGTCATAGGCGAGTACTGGTTCTCATACCGAGCCAGAGAACAGAGTCATATTTTTAATGTACGTTCCTAGCCTCAATATAAGTTAAATATTAGGTTTAAAAGTTGACGTCGGTATGTGCCACGTAAAGTTCAATCCCGCAACAAACTCCGTAGCTGTACCGTTACAAGACCTTAATTAGTTTATGGATGTCTAATTAATGGTTTGTGAAGACTGGTTTAGATTTACTATTACATTCACCAAAAATTTATACAACCTTTTTTATAATCCATTAATAATGTACCCTATAAAAAAGTAAATTTCGTTCGGGGTCTAGGGGTTTTATTAGATTCTTCACTGCATTTTGACAAACACATTGACCATATAAAAAAGAAAGCCTATCGCACGTATGGCTTTGTCGTAAGATCTCCTCGTGATGCTGTGCGACCCTCCACACTTTTGATGCTGTACAAAACACTAACACGTTTTCAATTAGAATACGATATACCTGTGTGGAAACCTTTATACATCAAATTTATTACGCACAACATTACAAATGTACTCAATCTAGATTATCTTATTTTGAGTTTTTAAATCATTTTTAATCTTCTAAGCTTAGAATTTAAACGTCTACTTCTTGATGCCATGATGCTACATAGTCTGTGTTACAATAGATATGAGTGCACAGCTATCACAAATGAAATATGTTACACTGTACCAAGAACAGTCCATCGGCCAATTTTTTCACACAACATCCTGCAGGACTAACGCCGGTGTCGCATACCTCTTCGACGACTTGTACTGACGCACAACAAATATTTCAATGACATTGATATTTTTGCTTTTTCTAATAACCAAAGAACAATGGCAGGTCCCCATACATAATTTTATTTGAAGTGAAATGACAGCGTTTAAATATAAAAAATGCCTAAAACCCTAGAAAATTTATTCTTGAACATTCTCATAAAAAAATTACTAGCGAAAGAAGTCTAGGAAAAAAGATATTGGATTTTGAATGTTTCGAGGTTAAGTACTAAAATATTGTAAATGTTTTGTTTGAAACTAGATGGCGTTGTGTGTCATATATTCGAAAATATTATTCATCATTATTATTACTTATAAGCAACCCTATTTTGCTGTAGAAAGTGTTAGCCGACTCTCTAAATGGGTGAAGGAAAGAAGGGTATTTGCCTGGCATCTATTGGTAAACAATTGAAAAAATCTTCGCTTACATAGCAGGTGTAATACTAGCTATAAATAAATAAATTAATAATAATAATTTGAATAAATGTACTTCAATACACATTTAAACAAGGCGGGAGCATTTATTTATTTATTTAGTTATTCAACAGTCAGTAGTTGTGACATTATTTACTAAAAGCATGCATCCATTTTATTGAGATTAATGCACAACATTTTAAGGCATCACATCATGCATATTGGAGTAACACTATATGAAATTAAAATTAAAATAAACATATATGAGAGTTTAATACTAAACAAAAGTGAAACAACCAAACAAACTACAATTGCCTTGTGAGAAATGGAATGTAAGTCATGCGTGTAAGTGTCAAACGACAAGACTAGTAAGTGCGACGACGACGTATCGACATTTTAAAAATATCGATGTATGTCTATTTATGCGCCGTTATCAACCTACAATGTCTTTTTCTCATCACACTAACCAATATAGTGTTTTAGTATTTTTCTGTAGGAAAATAACGTAACTATATTCTATTTATTTTGGTGTTGCAAAAATCTTTTAAAAAGAGTCAAAAATATTCTAAATTATTTCTAATTAGGTTGATTTAGTCACTACAGTACTAGTTACGGTAGCGTATGAGTAAACCCGTGGGCAGAAGCAAATTCATAATCATAATAGGTAAACCTTCGATAGATATTTCAAGCCAAAGTTATAACAATCGATTATCGATAAAACGTTCCATAATATAATAATGTCATCACGCATCCCTAGTCAGTTCGTGATGGCGATTCTGACATTACTTACTTAGGTCAAATAAAATCTTTAAAAATATCCAATCTCTTATTAGACTTATACAACACATTGCGGTATAATGATAAATCATAGAAAAAATATTTAGTAAGTTTACTATTAGTCAATTTTTTAAACGCTTCAGTTTTAGGTAAATATGTTTCTGCCATTGTTCTTTAAAGTCACGCCATTGAATTATTAACCGCCTTGCCAACTGAATAGAATATGAATATATTGTATCGTACGTATTGTATTGATCTGAATATGAATATATTGTATCGAACTTGTACATTTACATCTACATGTACCTAGTGTCTGCGCTCATGCGCATTTGTAATAACGTTCTGACGTGCTTCTTCTTAACACATATGAATTTGCTGGGTTATGTTTTACACTTCGAATATGTAATTTTATATAGTTAATACCTTAACATGCAACTGTTTTTGTTCCAAACAAAGAAAATAATAAATTTTTTTAGCACATTAATTTTATAAAAATATTATACGAAATATGTACAATGAGACCTAGAGAGGGTGAAATATTGTACAACTCCACTGAAAGTCTAAAATAAAAAAAAAACAAAGTATGTAAACAAATCTTAAAATCAATTTTAACCTAATTCTAATAGTAATGCCATAATGTAAAATTTGGTGACGGGTTAAGAATACGAAGTGTCACGACCCCCGTCCATCCCGTGGGGGTCGTAAGTTCCGACTACGCAGGACAACAGCATTGCAAAGAGAAGGAAAACTTGAAACAAACCCTATACCACTCGTCTGACCAGCGTGATATAGTAGGCCAAAACCTCCTTTTTAATATACGCTGTGTTGAATTGTCAATGGCTGGCCATATTAGCCGCAGAACCGACCACCGTTGGGGAAAACGAGTTCTTAAGTGGAGACTGCGTCTCGGCAAACTTAGTGTAGGACGCCCACAGGCCAGGTGGAGTGCCGATTTGCGCAAGATGGCTGGCAGGAGCTGTATGCGAGAAGCCCAAAATCGATCTAAGTTACGTGCAATGGGAGAGGCCTATGTCCAGCAGTAGACTGCGATAGGCTGATGATGATAGGCTGTTGATGATGATGAATGTAACTTTGTATGTTATTTGTATTTTGAATGACAATAATTGTCATCTCATCATCATCATCATTAAAAAAAAACTCACGCATCATTGTATTGCATTGATTTCTGAATTAATTTGGAAAAAAACCTTATCTAGTGATGGAGCAAGGGAAGAATGGTGGAACTTTTCAGTTGCTGCTAGTTAACGCCTTGGGTTTTGCGTGTTTTGACTTTAGCTTGGGCTAAGTGACGTTGATCTGAGGTAGTCACAAGGTAGATTGCTATTATTAATTATTTGCTAATTATTAATTTGGTACTGTATTAAAAAGTGTCATTTAATTATTGCAAACTGTAATTTTAACTTGCTTAAGTCAAATTTAATTGTTATAAACATGCCACATTTTTGTACATATTACTAGTTTTTACTTAAGGTCGGGGCCATTTTAACTATGTACGAATCTATCCCCGCTTGTGGAGCTATGTCGTAAAGTTTTAATCCTTGTTTGGAAAAACTCGCGGCTTGCGGACCTTGCTTGGTATACATTGATCCTAAATTTTACTTTTTCAAGAAATATCTAGGTATACACCTAGATATTCCAGTAGAACTGTCTTGAAATACCAATTAGTTATTATTTAATATTACTTGATGTAAAAACTGTGCTAGTATAAGCATATAAGTATTACATTTAATCACTGCTTTGACTACTTCTAATTTATGAACTGTCAGTTTCTTTAGCGGTATTGTATTTACGAATTAGGAATTATATTATATTATAATAAATTTCTTTTCTCGTATATGTATAAAGATTATGGTCTGAACTCATTGTTACTATCTACTTTAAAAACAAACAAACAAGTTCTACTAAAAAAGTCTCGGAAAATTTAAAAGGCATACAGCATTAGTCAGATGTTAGTGTATTTGGCGATTCGAGGTCGATTATTTTAGTACAAATTTTATTACGAAAAAAACATACGAACATGAATTTCCAGTGTTTCGGTGTAGGTTTCACAGAATAATGCTTTGGAAAAATCGAAGGTTATTTATAAAAAATATATGTAAAAAATCGTGTTGGCTAACAATCGAATTTTTTTAAAGTCAATTTTCGCACTAGGAATATATCCTGTGTCCATTACAAACATACATGAAACGGATACAAAGAACAACAATTTGTGGCTTACACAAAGTGTTGTCCCATATGAGGATCGAATCCACAACACAGCGCAATAGGAAGCTGCGAGGTGACCGCTAAAACAACTATCATTGCAAAATATATCATAATATTTAAATGAATGTGTAAAAGTTTTCTTTAAATGGGTTAATCTCCCATCATGACTGATCCCAAACGAGGCAGATCTTGTACTATGGTAACCAGACTGACATACATATATATTTCTAAATACATACATATTATAGATAAAGTACACCCAATAATGTCAAAACTATATTTACCCCCACACTATAAAACAGCAAAATCTTCGATCTTAAAGAACCTGGAGGATCTTCTAGTAAGATGATGTCAGGGGCTCGTATAAACTCGTATACTCTCTATTTGGTAAAGAACTTACCTCTTATTAAGGTTACTCCTAGATAATGGAAGGTAGGCATAAGGATCGTGTTTGCCCTTTTTCTTTACATCGCCCTTTGCCTTCTTAGATCTAAACTCCGAGCCTGCACCAGAAGCCACTGACGCTGCTGAACCGAGAGGTCTGGAATAAAATTTGTTAATGTGTATTTAATAGACTACTAGTTATTGTGATCTATCTCCTTAGTGAGTTCGATAGCGCATCGTGCACTTACGACCAAATAAAATGCACGCCCATTTATTATTTTTTCTTTGTCAGAATATTTCTTTTATATATAATATTATATCAAAACGAATCAATAAGAGGTTACGTAGTAAAGTTCCTTTAAAACTTCACTACGTAAGTTCTTATCGATTCTATGGTGGAAGATAAAATAATAATATGAATGTGGTAGAATATACCACATTCACACAAATGGTTTTAATTAAAAAAAAATGTTGGTTGGTTGGTGGTTTGCGACAAAATTCAAATTCAGTTCAATAACCAACGTCTGCGCCGGTAAAGGTCAGCGCTCAATGATCGGTACTGGTAACTTTAAAAGGTGTTCCACAGTCTAAATATCATTTTCTGTTTTTTATACAATTACAGTATACAAAGTCAGACACCGTGCTATCGCCACATACAACATGTAAATTTCATGAACAATGAAGTTATAAGTAAAAATATGTACATAGATTATGTAAAAATGTTACAAATTTAGAAGAATATAGACATAAAATGAAAAACATGTTTTCAACTGAGTTGGAGTGGGTAAGCCCCTTGGTAACAATATAATTCGATAAAATCTATAAACCTCTATTTCAAAATATCGTATTTTAAGTAAGAAGTATTACAATGATTCCTTAATAAATCAATCAAGCTGTGATAGAAAGAAAAGTAAAGACATTAAAAATAATCGTTAATTTCTAAAAACATGTAAAATATCTTACCTATGAATGCCCTTTCCTCCCGCCTTATACCTAGATCCAACAGTGGCAGTAGATGCTCTACTCCGGCTGGACTTGCCACTCTTCAAACTTAAAATGTCGTCATAACGACGTTTTGTGCCTGGTTTGAGCAGTTTCGACGGTTTGGGCTCATCGTCTTCATTATCTGTAACATCATACCCTATATAATAACACTCATTTATTGTTTCATTAGCTGCATTATCACTGATCATAGAAACTCATGGAAAATGAATTATAAAAAGTTCATTAAATTAGTTTTGCCTACCGGTATCATCAGTATCGGAATCAATGTCCCCGCTGGGCTTTTGATTGTCATCACCGTCGTCATCAAATGCATCATCAGTGATGATAAGCCTTCCGTCGGGAGCCGTCTTAAATCCGCCATCTTTCTTCTTCTGTGCTTTCACTTCTGTTGCTTTCTTACGAGAGGGGTCCGTAGCTGGAAGTGACAGGTTTTATTAACATTTGACATAGACCAATCCCTTTATTTTTTGTCTCCAAGTATAAATGTAATCTCTCCAATATAAATATGTGTCAACATTTTTTTTAATAAACATGAATTCCAGTAGCGAATGTTTGATTCTAATTTAGTCTGTATGTCAAACATAACAGAAACGAAAGCCAAATTGGCCTGACCTGAAGTGGATAAGTACCCTTCGCTTTTTCGGTTCAAATAAATGCTGTTGGATGTGTTACTAGGTGCCAGGTAAACTGGAAATATAATGAATTACCTGTAATCTTCCTAGAAGCTGATACATCAGCCAAATCGACAATATTCTCAGGGTCATCTTGAATCCAGGCCCGATTCTTCAACTTCTTGTTGTTCTTGGCTCTAGCTTTGGGCCTTTCCTCTTCATCGTCCAGGAACTCCATCTCAGAATCCGAGTCTTTTAGGATGTCTTCTAGTGTTTTTGATGTGCCCTTGATGGGCATGTCGTCCTCTGAATCTTGCTCAGATTGGTCTCTATAAGTGAATAAATATAAAAAGTATTAATGATAAAAATCTATTACATCACGACGACTATTTTTAATGTTCTGCATTCATTTCAATATTTCTTTTTATAAATATATATGTTATTTCTTTTTATTGTAAACCAGGAATGATCTCAAATAAATTTAAAAATAAAACTTTAAGACAATTTAACCATTCGTTTAAGTAAGGAGAATATATAATGGTTTAATTAAATATATGCGCCTTAACTTATCTTAATCATCTTGTTTTTATTTTTTGCTGGGCGGACTCACAGAGCCATTGCAGATATTCTATATATTTTGAAAAATTATGCGTCAAGTTAGGTATTTGTCAAAAATCCCAGAAATTTTCAAATATAAGCTTAAAAGAAACCAGTAGTGTTATAGTCAACTGCAAAAAGTATAACTTACCTTTGGCCGTCCTTCTGCCTCTTCTTCCTATTTTCCATCTTCCTAATATTTCTCAATCTCTTTAACATAACTTCATCACTTTGAGGAATGAGTTTCTCCACCGTATCCGCACCAAATTTCCTCAACATTTTAGTTAAAAAGTATCCTATCTCAAGACGCGAGTGACGCTTGCAATCTTCCTCCATTGATGACAAGGTTTTAAATATTAAAGGCAAACTGCCTGCTAATACATCTGTAGGAAGGACCTTTGTGTAAACCTGTAGAACAAAGTGTATCATTATGAACTGTCTGTTTCTCTTTCCTTGATATACCTTCTGTAATTTAACTTGGTAGTTAGCCAAAGAAGAGGCCCTAATATCACCTATTGCTTGAAGTATACGCGTAAGAAGATTTTACTTTGCTTCGAAAACGGCAGTTGCTGAATAACGTTACGTAGATAGTAACGCTACCTTGGCTAAATTATTTATAACATAGATTTAGGTTGGCCATAAAACTCAACTCGAAGGTTAAAGGAAATTTAGAATAGGTGTTGTTTTTATGTATTTTTTTAATTGAAGAAAGTTTAAAGATCTTCTATCAGACAACTGCGATAATAGAGCTCAAGAACCGAAAAACGCAATTAATTTTGTACCACGTAAAATGGTAGCCAAAAGGAACATGTTGCAAAAGCAAAAGAAATGGTGCTATCGTTTTTATTGCCCAAGGAGTTGCATAATTGACACTTTTGTCAAGTTTGCAACTCCTTGTCCGTCATACATCGTTTTATTACTAACTAATATCTATTATTAATTATTTGGCAATTATGAGTGTGTTGATTCTTTCTTTTGTAACTAACACAATTCCTTGAAGTTAATTTTAATATAACTCTAATAATCGTATCTAAATAAAAGTGTTTATGTAGTTTGGATGACAATTACATACTAACATACTTTAGCGTCCTAGAATTGATCCGATGATGGAACCAGGAAGTGCATAGTGCACTATTAGTTAATAATAGTTGAATATCCTTGTTTTGGGTATATTTAAATTCATTATTTATTTACAACAGCATTACTAAAACTCACCTTCAAGAAACTCATTGCAGCTGCAACAATTTCTCTATTATTGTTTAACATTTGACCAGCGACAGTCTCCAGTAGACCTTGTACTGTTTCCAGTCCCATTTCCTCAGAGAAGTTGAACAGAGCGGAGGCGATCGCCCGTAAAGTTGCCCCCACGATGCGAGGTACGGGTGCAGTTAGACCAGACGTTAACATTGCGACGAAGGCTTGCATACCTAGACGAATTACAAATTCTTTATATTCTTTTTATAGGACTAAAAAAAGTCGGACTACAAATAAACTTAGTGGTGTAGTACGGTACGCGACTGCAGTCCATGTGGCCTCGGGTTCGATTCCCGGACCGGGCAAAATTTTATAGAGTTTTTCTAAAAGGAAAAATAGTCTAAGTTACTCTTTATACAGACAGCAACCTGGTAGTAAAATATTATCAAAAGTGGTCCAGCCGTTTTAAAGATTACCCGAAACAAACAGACAAAAGATATTTAAACTGATTTTTAGGCATAGGTATCGTGCAAAAACCATGTGAGCATGAAAAAATCCTTTTATTTTGACATTGCAAATAGAGACTTCAATTTTATTTACTTGTATAGATGTTCCTTTTAATTATTTAATTTATGTAAATCAGTTATTTTCCTAGTTACAAGGTTTTATTTCATTATGTTAGAGGGCACGGCCTATTCGGCAACACTTAGCTAAGTATTTCTTACACTCCCTACCCCAATTCATTCGTATATCCTTTTTTCCCATTGCCATCCCTGTTTGCCTTCGTTAACCTTACAACATATTCACTACATTAAATCCCAAAGTGTGTGGCATAACGTGAGTTGCACCAATTTATAGTATTCAAAATGTTTATTAAAACGCCTTTGAAGAAAATGAAGATGAATCTATTTTTGTCAAAGATAACTTTTTGAAAACAGGTTATCATGCTAAAATCTTACCAATTGCATATCCTTACATGATATAAAATGAAGTCCCCCGGCCGCGTCTGTCTATTTGTATGAACTCGATAAACTCAAAAACTACCGAACGGATTTTTGTACGGGTTTCACCAATAGATAGTGTGATTTCTGAGAAAGGTTTAGGTGTATAATTCATGATGATTTTATGTAAATTTACTGAAATATAACGATTATTGTTGAAGAGGTCATTCAATAATATGGAAGCTAGGCATACAATATTTAAGAATATTACTAACTCTTGACTCTTATAACAAAAACATGATACTCATACTCCAACGTGTGTTTCAGAATCTTTGACATATCCAAAAAGTCCAAATAGTAAAAATCACGCTACCTGATAACTACTTACCTCCTTCTTGTGTTTTAAGAACGTTGCCGACGCTGTTGATGACGTTGAAAGCACATTGTCTACACTTGGAGTTGATATCCTTTGTACATATCACTGACTCTGCTATCGCGCTCTTTAGCAGCTTGCTCTCGGCGTTCAAGAACGGTGTTGAGGTGATCAGGTGTTCTATACATCTGAGGGGCAATAATATAATAAGAACTTTGTAACATAAAGTGGGAAACTTTGGTGTTATTATTTACCGAATAATTAAAACAACTATAAAACCTCATTTAGGGGCAATTTAGCTATTTGTATAATGTAAATTTTTGTCAAATAACCATAAAATATTTAGGAATTATTATACTTTAAAATTCTAAATTTTTCAGCTTCACAGCATTTCCAAAATTCAATACCTTATTATCAAAAACGTGTTGGGACTCAAACGATTGAGACTTTAATCTGCTTAAACTTAGCAATTCTGTTTAAGTTCTAAAATAAGTTGTACAAAAGCCAAATAAAGATTCAAACTACTTCGGGTGTTTTAGTCTGTTCTATTTAATCGTTTATTTGGCGCATCACACAACTACTACCTAAAATTATTGCATCAAATCAAATAGATTTTTGTTAGATTGGAAAAGGAAAGAAAGTCCTTAAACCGCGGTAGCTAAATAAATATTTTTGTTCCTTACCTTAGTCTGGCCGCCTTGCTGCTGTCGGCAACTTTATTCAAAGATGACATCAATAACTTTTTAATCTTTTTATAATTGTCTTTTAAAAATTGTTTACAACTATCGTTATCACTTTTAAAAATTTCTTCTAATATCCTGTAAGCCTTTTTATGTTCCATTTCAAGAAGTTTGGCCTTCTCTTTATATCTTAATTCATTCTTTTCCTCTCCATTTTCTTCTACAGCGTTCTCTTTTTTAGCTTTTTTATGCTTTTTAGGATCTTCTAAAACCGTTTCACATAACGGATAGACCCATTCATCGAACAATTTCGCAATTCTGTCGCTATTTTGGTATAAAACTAATGTTCTAATGATGTCCAGTATTGATTCCCGTTGAAAGTGATTGTCTTTCGATGTGCCTAGTTGTTGGAGAGCATTCGTAAAAAGTTCTTCGGTTAAGGTTTGATCACTTATCGTGAGGTATACCTAAACGAAACGGGAATAAACGATTGCATATATGAGATCTCTATAATTGTTTGGAAATATGTCTACGTTACTACATTGTATAATAATAATTAAGTAGTAAGAAGTAATAAATTTAATATATTATCGTCTCTGATCATGTCTAAATATTTAATCGATGTTAAAAAAAATGACAAACTCAAGCTATGCTTAAATGCAGTTGTATACAAAGTTGTAGTCGACGCTAAATGATAAAAAGATATGAAATGACATACTTGCCATAAATATAATATTTTGCTAGAAAGCTTTTTTTAAAGTATAATAATAATACTGTATGATTTTTTTAGTATGTGTTATGATATAATGTGATGTAAGAACATACCTGTATAGTTTCCAAGGCCGCTAGTCTCTGTCCTACCGCAGTACTGCCCTTAACAGGAGACATGTAAATATTCAACAAAATCGGCAAGTAGTTCTTAGCAAATCTGCTCAATTCATTTTTATCCTCCTCATTATCGGCTGAACATGTTATAAGCTTTCTCAAACCCTGCATCACGGAAAGCCTAAACTCCGGGTTATCTTTAAGTACACTACCTAATACTCTAGCCAAGGATTTAAAATTGTCTTTTATATCCTTAGGGTTGTTGCAAAAGCTTGGCAGTAGAGCCCAGAATTGGTTGCAAAGTAACTCATATGTATGAGCTAGCGCCACATTGTTTTCCTGAGTTATTTCTCTAGATTTCTTTCGACAGAATGTCGCCATTTCTAAAATTTCTGTTGCAAAGAATTTTAAGTGTGAGTTTTGAATTTTTTCCTTTAACACAGGAAGTAGCCATGTACGTTCTATATTGATGTTTTCCGGTCCATCTCGTAGCGGTATCGTCTTGAGAACGAACTCTGGTCCCAGCGATTTGATTGCACATCCTGTAGCGTATTCAACTTCTTTGTCGTTGTCAAAGTTGTGGCTCTCACGTCGGTCGTTAAGCTTCTTGAGAAGGGGACCCAGAATATGAGTTACTTTTTCGTTGCCAATCTGTATAAAGTGAATAATTAAATATTGCATTTCATAACTGAATCATTAACAACTCCTTTAGAGCCTTGATTTATAGTATTAATGTTTAAATGAAAATAATAATTTAAAATGGAATTTCATTAACTAATTCATTCAACGAATTTCATGAAAGCAATGGTTCACTATATTTACATTATACACAAAATTAAAATCTATATTCAAATTTATAATCAATATGAATGTCAATGTGGGGCAAAAAAAATTATGAGTAATACTTACTTCAAAACACACGGCAATAGTCATTATCACGTGTCGTATGGCTTGATTGAAGGGGTTGTCAAGTCCCGTGCCTATACACTTGAATATCGTTTCGATATTGCTTTTGTGTTTAGGGAACTCTTCGGATTCTACGGCCAACTTCACGCAGTCAAGTAACACAGCCTGTAAAGAGAAAAATTGAAAAAATAGCTTTTTACCCGAGTTCAAAAGGAGAAGATCAGTGGCGGATAAACGTGCCTAAGAGCGCGGGGTTACAAAGGGGCGTGCGCGCAGAATTTTTTTACAAAGAAAAAATAAATGCCTACCATAAAAAGAACTGTGTCAGTAGTATGCACATACTTAGACAATTTAAAGAATTCCTTAATTCTATAGGTAGAGGTGCCTTAAGGTTGACATCTAGGATTTATATCACCACTACTTTGCTTTCATTTTCTGATACCTACGAAGATTGAGGCTAGTAAGTGTACACAAAAATGTAGTTGCTACAACTACAGCTGTAGTGGAGATTACTCTATAGGTTGTAGTAATAGACCAGGGTTGTCCATTCAATGGCACTATACGGTGTAACGGTGTGGGCAGAAGCTCTGATCGCCCACAATAAGGCGCGCTCAGAGGGTGCTGGCGGATCTCTGCCATGGGATTTAGAGCCGCAAAAGAGTGGCTAACGGCCGCTTGCCGAGCCACAATGAGTCGTTGGTTGCCCCGGCTGGAGGCTCCACGCCGTGGCCACGCTCCAGGCTTCCAACTGACGCAGGTCTTTTCTGGGCACGTCTGCTTAGGGAGGTACCAGCAGTCCATTGCTAGGAGTGAATTGAGTTGCGACTATCACCACTGCAGTTCGTGACGCACGCTGAGTTCATCGTCTTAGCACACACTGGTGAACATAAAGTTAGTCGTTCATTGCAGACAGTTACACGCCCATGGCTGGCGCGCCTTCATGCGCCTCATGCCGCCCTGAGTGTGGTCTCAGGTGGCCGGGTTTTCCCCTCCACTGGCCACGAAGGCCTACCGCGAGGAAGTAACCAATGAAGTCAGTGCAGCGGCAGCTAATCTTTTATAATATCCAATATGTCATGGATATTATAAAGGTTTAGCTGCTATACTGCACATAGCCTTCTATGAGGTTACTCACTCATACAATACGGGATTGCCGTACCTCTATATATTTCAGTCTTCGAAATCCTTTATTCCACAAATAAATTATTTTATGTATCCTTATATGTATTCTACACTTAGAGAAAAATATTTGAAGTAAATCTTACCTTTAAAGCATTTGTAGATGCGGAATTAATGTCAGCTATGTCAGAATGCCACAACTCAGTGACACAGATGTTAACAAATGCAGGCAGGTTCGGCATACAAAGGTTCAGATCCAAACTATTAAAAGAAAAAACTATTTATTTATACTTGATAGGAATCAAGTATAGAAAAACAAAATAAAAAAAAATGTTTAGTGTAATAATATCCTTATTATTAAACATTTTGTTTATTTTGTATTTTTTTTATATAATAAATATACATATCTCACACACGGTCGTCTGATTCCAAACTCACTCCCAACAAACAGAGCCTGTAGTATGGCAACCAGACTACTGGTAAATATTCATATAAATTACTAAATACATACATATTATAAATAAATTACACCCAACACAGAACAAATGATCACGCTCATCACGCAAACATTTCTCCTGGGTGGCAATCGAACCCACGACCTCTGACTTAGCAGGATATTTACCGTGTTTATTTCGGGAATTAGTGTCCGATATTTCCACACTGTTACTGTAAATGTGTCATTTGTAATAACTTATCAATTGAAAATACCATGTATTTAAAATCAATACAATAACCACTATAGCAGCAGGCCCGTCGATTATATGCATTACTATATATTTTATAAAGTTCCCCACCGTACCTGTTTATCAGTCTAAACGAAGATTGTAGATATTGTAATAAAAATCAAGAAGTATGAGAGAATTACTGACGTGACTAATTAGTGTAATACGAGTATCAATACACTGTATTATCAGTAGTTAAGTTCATACATTAAATAAAACAATATTTCGGACATCTGACATACAACGCCATCTAGTTTCAAACTAAGCAGACTGATTTAATACTAAATTATTTTTTCTTTGTGAATACATACATATTATAGAAAACACCCAACTCCGAAACAAATATTTGCAGATCATACATACATCCGACCCGGCAACCGGTAACGCTACCACTGCACTACCGAGGCAGTCAACCTTTACAATCTTCCAACCGCGTTTAAAATAAATAAAAACACAACTTACATAGCCAAACAGCCACATCCCTGTTGTAACACGGCAGCCCACGCGAGCACCTGTCCGGTGTCATTCGCGGGAGGTCGCGCTGCCATCAGCGCTCTAATGAGCTGAACTGCTAACGATGCCGTCAAGTTGTTGGACTCCAGGGGCGAGGAGAACAGAGCGTGCAAGGTGTGCAGACAACATGTCTTTATGTAGACATTATTATGGGTCATTAGCGAGAGGATGGCTTCACACACTGCCTAAAAAATAAATGTGATTTTATAATCGTAGTTCGGTTGAGCTTTCTATCCCAGGTCCCAGGATCATGTTTTTAGTCCATCCTAAGGTAACCTGGATAAGCTTGCTTTAAGAAATAAAGCCACTCTATAATCAAGTACTATAAGTACTATACTCAAGTACTTAAAAGTATTTTCTTATTTATACTCTATATTACTATAATCTCTGTAAAAATTCTGGAAAAAGATAAGGATTGTTGTGGAATTTCTAAAAATAGATTTTAAGGTTAAATCTCAATCTTTGGACTGATTGTAATATACTATTCGTGTAAGACCCTTTTATGTAACATACGGTTCTGTTTGAGTAGTTTGACCATGGATCATAATATTGTTTCAAATTCAGCAGGAGAGTGATTATATTATGTATCTTTAATAAATTTTGTTTTCTTTACACCTATCTCTACATCAAGAACTTCGGAATACTTGGAAAAACGAATTAATGATGAGAACTTAACCACGAGCCAGTTTTTAATTACCTTTATGTTGTCCTTACTGAAGACAGGCAATACATCTCTGAGCATTGTCAGAGTGTGCAAAACAGTCCGGTGTCCAGATAGAAGGGCTTCTGCTTTGATTTGTGACAAGCAGTACTCTGCCACACGCTTAGAAGCTGGATGGACTTTTGGTACCTGAAAGTAATTTAAACATTGAACTTTTGTTGGATAGTATGGGAGTCACTTTGCATATTTCCAAAAGTAAAAATACTTTTTAAAGTAAGTTGCATAATTAAACAAACAAATAAACTATAAATTGAATGAGCACCGTAACGTACGATGGACATTACATTTCGTGAAATTGCCATAACTACTTACATAGTATTCAAATTATAATAAGCTTCCTTTTTTGGAAATTGGCATAGGAGCAGTCGGATCACCTGATGGTAAGTAATTACCGCCACCCATGTACCCCTAAATTAACCTCCCTCTAGAATCATAGAAAGGGGGAGTTTGGGCTTCTTAACTACACTTACTTGGTGAAAAGCAACGAAGGAAATGCTTGACACCAATTTTCTACAAGGCCATGGTAGCACTGTGGTCGAGCTTTCCCACGAACGATGTGTAACGAGTCCATCACCTAGGAGACAATCTATGAAAGACCTATTTCTTAGCATTCCATGGATTTACCCGGGTGCCCGGTCTATCGCGTGATAGATGGGGGCAACACATGCGACTTCGACAGCTCCTGGGAATTGCGACCCAGGAATAGGTTTAGGGAGTATTCCTTGCGACGCGTCAGCGCTCACCTCCACTGTCTGCAGCATTACCCTGCTCTATCTAACCCTATTTGTTACGAGCTTAGCAATGCCGCTTTGGATATTCGTTCAAGTAAAGAGCTTACTGAACTATATACTAAATCTATGGTGCCGAGAAATAGAGAAGTGATTCACAGGACCGACAGATAATGTGGACGATTACACACAATGAAATACTTTGATATCTAATTGACTTACCTTGATTTTTTTGTCTTCTGATGGTATCATGAAAGAACTTCCTCGCAGTATAGACGTAACTGCATGTTGAGCGGCCTTGCGAACCTGTTTTATCAAAATTTTATTTATTTGGCAATATTATTTTTTGGAAGCGATATTACGATTTTGAAAATGGAGTTAAGAGGTTGCGAAACAATTTTACACTTTTATTTACTGGTTAGTTTTTATTACATACTTTTTATACGGGTTAGCTGGTGATTTAAGATATTCGCAATTTCATAATCAACAATATTTTTCTCTCAATTTATATCCAACAGCTGTATACACTTTACGCTGTATAGGAATTGATTAAACAAAATACTCATCTTTTAGAAGGATAGCTATTTTTGTGAAGCTTTAAGGGATTGCAGATAGAAGTATTTTATTTTAATTTCAATTTCACACAATATTTCTCAGAACTAGAGTCTTTACTCATCCATAACTAAACTGACAAAGAAATATATATAGGATACAAACCTTAGGTTTCGAATGGAGTGCAAAAGCGAGAACTAATTCAAACACTCTCATAGTAGACGAGTCTGCCCACACTGCATATGCCTGAGCCCTTAACAATACAGACAAACATCCTATAACACTTCTAAGCAATGCCCCATTCTCTGAACCTTCATTTTTTTCTAAGATTTCTGTCAGTGTTCTTGCAGAATCGGCAAATTGTAGTCGCAGCACTGCGATGGGTACAGATTTGATTCCCATAGATAGAAGTGTTAATATTGCTATAAGATTTTCATCAGTCTCTCGTGATTTGAGTGTCATCAACTGTAAATTTAGAGAAGAGAGAACATGGAATTAAGTTTTTCTTGACCAAAGAGTTGATTGAGTAATTTTATGTAAACTAATAATAATTTAATTTTTATAAAGTATATGTTTAAAAATATAATTGATATGTATATAAAATAAATAAAGAGAATAGTAATAACTTTATTTACAAAAAAATACACTCAATACACCTTGTTATCACCACACAAATAATATTTCCACAGTGTTACAAATAAAATAATCAGGTCCATGTAAACAATAATAGGTTCCTGGCTCCCAAACAAGGTTTATCACCTGTGACTTGGGGGCCAGAAACAAAAAAAACATTTTGATATTCGTACGGATTATACCAATATTATAAAAGTGAAAGTGACTTTGTTTGTTTGTTACGCTTTCAGACTACTAATTTGATTTTATAAACCTTTCACCAATGGAAAGCTACATTATGAGCGAGTAACATAGGCTACTTTTTACCGTGATAACCGACATACACGCGGGCAGAGCCGCGGGCAAAACCTAGTAAATAATATATGTATGTATAAATTCATAAACATTTTTTGGTACCCATAATTTTTTCTTGATTTTCAACAATGTTAGATAGCTCTTCAAAATCTCCATCACGGTACTATTATAATACAGTATTGTAACTCGGCCGCATGATAGAAATAAATGCCTACAGCCGCGCGGTACGTAAACATGCGTTAGGGCTGCCCGTCTCCAGCATTTTAGTGATATTTGCCTACTTTCTGTTTCTATTTAGATTTGTGATTGTAAATATCCTTTTTATATAAATAAATGAAATACTTTGTATATTGAATAGGAATTGTTCAATAAAAATGCGTGTTGTTTTTTGATTGGTAGATTTAATTAAAAAACATTTTTTTGTTTGAAAAACCAATCGGGCTTATAAATTAGCGACCGAAAAAATCCTTCTATAAAATAAAATAAATGTGCTTTCTCCATACGCGTTACAAAACTCCAATCCTTAGAAACTCCAACACCTACCACCTACTCAACTAGAATGCAAGAAACAGCTGACGAGAGTAACTTTTTATCTCAGCTAATTAACGTCTCTATAAATTACCTAACCTATAACCTACAACTCGCAACAACTCAAAACAAAAATTATTTGGTCACCAATTAATTAATTATTAAAAAGCTGAACAGCTGACTACGAATGTTTTAAAATCACAACCCTCAAACATCTAAATATTATATATGAGTCTAGCTGTTGTTGTTAATACCGAGAAAATAAAACCAGTTTTTAGTGGTATATGTTGTTATAGTAGCAGCAGAAACTCTTTGTGAAAATTTCGAAAACTGTCTAATGACACACAGACGGTAACAAATTTTTTTTAGTATTATTCATACACACAGATAATAAAGATATATTATTAATAATAAAATACCACGTCTTCAAGTAGAATTTTCTTTTTTTTGAATTATGCAAAGTAACAAAACAAACATGCACCGAAGTTTTAACACAAGCGTAAGTAGGTAGGTACCTACCGTATCATGATTCATTCAGAACCGCATGTAACTCCCTATTTCACTCGTCTCAATAACTTTCCGTTACTCTATTTGCTTTATTTATTCATCCAAACACCTTTTTTTTCGTGAGATAAAAGGAAATACTTATCCATTAAAAAGACACACATTATGTACCTACGTACTAGTAAGTAAAATTATTTTATAGTCTTACTTTTCAGAGTTTCCAGGTAATTTAAAAAAACTTATGTCTGGATGCGTTATTGACGAATTCATACAACCAAAAACCGCACAATATTTCCTACTCGTCATATTAACTGATTTTTAGAGAAAAAATCGCGCGGTTATTGTTAAAAAAACAACACGCAGTCCGTTCGACACTGCGGTACAGCCGTGACTGTCTGCGCCCCGAGCGCACCCCGAGATCGAGGCGCGTAGGTATAGCTCCCGTTTCGTCCGTTTGTATGAAGTTGCAGTACTGTATTATAATAGTACCGTGTCTCCATTTATAGCTTATAAAAGCTTGTAAATAGTGTACAAATACAAATAATTAATCATTTACAGATATAAACATGTAACTCACCAATGCAGCAAAGTACTCTGTATTGGACTCTTTGCCATTTCCCTCCTGTTTAATTATTGTAGTCACAGCTTTCAAAACTGCTAACATCTCTTTATGTAAAGCATTGTTGAAGTCAAATCTATTTAGCAACCTGTATATAACAAATGAACAACATATATACAACAATTCTTTATTAAATTACCAGCATTGGCAAGTTATCTGCCAAAACCAGTGAGTGTAATATTAAAATATACATGTTGACATTAAAACATTTAAATTTTTGTTCATAGCCAGTAGGTCAGGATACTATGCAAGATGAGATCTACAGAACCCTGTAAGATGAACATGCTTTTTTATAAGCATGTATAAAAAATACATTAATAACTTTTATTTCCATCCCTTTAACATCCAGGAATTTTGAAATCTATCTTTGTCTAGGGAGTTAGTCCATATGCGTTAAGAAAATAGTGACTCATCATTGTCCGCCGACAAAGCCCCACCTCCTGACCAATCTGGTCCAACAAAATATACAGTCAAGTTCACATTGATCAGACTTTTGTATGAAACCGTTGTTTTTGGGTGTAATATTTTAAAAAAGATACCTAGCTTTTTGTAAGAATAAAACTGGATCAATATTTTGTTGTAAGGAAAAAAGAGTAATTTACAATGTTTTTAAGTACTTCAAACTGTGTGACCTTTATATGACTGTGGAGAGTGCAGAAACAAAAACAGCTAGAGCTTGCGGCATATCCAAATTACTGTTCATAAGATTATTAAGGAACAAAAAGAAACATTAAAAGTGCCTCTGAAAAAAGAGTTCGACTATCAATGGTGAGTAGTATCAATGATAAGTTACATACATTAGGCAAATGAACCATTATGCTTTTTTGTTATATTTTTTTGCTTATATCCACAACTGGTCAGCAGGTGTTTTTAAGCTTTTGTTTTATTTAAAAAAAAAACATTTATGGTCAGGTAGACTTAAATCTCAAAAATATAAATTGTTGTACAAAATAAATGCAAATTGTTTCAATTTTTAACACCTTTACCCTCATTAGGTCACTATTTTCTTAATGGTTAATGTTACTTTACCTGTATAGTAATATATGTACTTACTTGCTAAAACTAATGTTGGAACACTGTGTAAAACCCGATGCAAATGTTTGAAATGTTTTAAAAGTGCCAGATTTCATTGAAGCAGTGTATCCACTTTCAGATCCTTCATCTCCACTCTTCATAGACATGTTCTCTAATTCCTTAGCAATTACAAGTTCATTGTCAGCCTCAGATGTTTGTTTATTTGATGCATGTCCATATGTCATCATGGCATCATGTTTTAAGATAGCTTGTTGGGTCAACCCTGTTCCTCCTGAAATTTTTGAGTATGTTAACTTGACTTTATTATAGTACCAAAAATATTTAAGAGTGTCATTTGATAATGTATAGTCTGTTTTTGTGCGTAGGTTATGTGATATAAACATCCTTCCATAAGCATTACATTTTGGATATAAACACAAGCATTTAAGTACTGCAATTTAAAGAAAGCAGAAATGTACACTTGAGTACCTAGGTGCCAAAGGTTAATGTAGTAAACTTACCTAAATTTTCTTGAAAGAACCGAGACTTGGCCATATCCCGGTATTTTTGTGTCCTCGGATTGGAATTAGACGACTGGCCCTTCTGCCATCGCTTTCCCTTCGATTTCCCCTTCAAGTTTGATCTAAACTTTCCCATTTTTAATAATCTTTGCTATTTCTTCTTAATTCATAGTACGGGTTTCCAAAAAAAAACACATCGCACGTGGTGAAGAGAATGAAGTATAGAATGTATGGAGATATGATTTATAAAAGGGGCAGTAATTTGACAGTTGAAGTTTAGGGTTGGATGTCTACAAAGTAATAGTGAGAGATCGATTACGATGCCATATGAATATACGATCATCAATAAATACGAACATTCGTTAATCATTGGAAAATAGTGATAATAATAATTATTTTTTATCCATTAAGTTTTCATCTATTGTAAAATCACATCACATCACATCAACAGCCTTTAATAGTCCACTGCTGGACTTAGGCTTCTCCTGAGAAAGGAGGTTTATTGTTTAATAAACGTTATTAACTAACAGGCCCCATAGTTCTTTCTTAAAAATATTTTAATTTTTAATTTGCAAGACTGCAGGTTTTGGAAGTTTGTTATTAATTTTAGGTGCCATTCCTAGGAGGTTTTACTTAAATATCGTGATATATCTAGGGTAAAACTAATTTTATGATTATTTCGTGAACTATTTAAAGTCTCAAAAAGATAGAAACTATTCCTCTCTAACAATACCATCTCATATATGTACAAACAGTAATGTTAATATATGAAGTATGAGAAAGTAATGTTTATCAGTCTTCTGTTTGCTGCATATGGCTCGAAAACACATCTTTTTCTTTCTTCTTTCTTTGGGCTTTGAAAATACTTTCCTTGTTTGTTGAGTGTCTCTAATATATTATTATAACACCACATCGCAACATAGATGTATGTAACAAAAGCGTGACAAGTAACGTTTACTGATTCACAATCTTGGAAAGATTATAAAGCGCATTGGAGTATTAGTACAGCCGTTTACATACACTAATTGCCTGAGTTTGCCAAGACATATTCCTATTTTAATATTTAGTGGAATTCGTTCCTTCAATTATTTTTGTACCATATCTTCATACCATGCTTATTACACTAATACGATCATGTAGGAAAAAAAATGCCAGTTTTGAATCCAACATCGTGTTTGCTAATTTTGAAACTGACAATTTAACATTATTTTTCTCTGGATGGAAATAGTTCCAAATAGTTTTTTGACACATTTTAGTACTTTTCAAAGATTTCTTTTTAATGTTTAATTCCATCTAAACTATTCCTTATTCTTAAGAAATCTAACCTGATATGTCAAATAATAAATTTCAGCATTTTATTTATAACTAAACTTATAATGGGACATAGGTAGCCCGGATACTGTAACAAAGCAACAACACTCTCAGTCAAGTGGACATTGATGCGCTCCGCTTTCTTATGATTTCATAAAAGTCAGCACCATGTGCCTCCACGAACATGTTTGGTGCGCTACAAAACCTCGCCAGATTTAACAGCATCCACAAAAAAGCATTGTGGTACTGGACGCGTAGTGTGCTGTACGCCCACTGAGTAAAGTTAGTCTACAGGCTGCACGTGGAGGACTGACAATATGCTTTGGAAAGAATAACCTTGACTGGTGTGGTACAACGTGCGAACATATTTCACTGGATACAGAGCGCAGTGCCCTACGCTATCTCTCAATATCATCAGATAAGTCATCGACGACCCAGTGACCAAGATACTTATACTTATTTACTCTCTTTAAAGGAGTACCGCAAAGAGTAACTGGAGGTACAAGTGAGTAGCATTTGGTATCACCTTTAAAGATCATAAACTCACTCTTTTTGAGATCATGACTCATCGCATATGACTCACTGATACCTATCGAACTTCGTAGTGCACCAATCGGTGGGCTTCTATTATTTATGCACACGCTATTTGACTAACCAATGTTTGTGCTACTGAGCCCACCAATCAGCTCATTCATATACAGATTACTAATAAAGAGTCGTTTTCAAGAATCTTTAAGAATTTAATAAATTTTAGACTTCAGTTGACAAGCAACTGTCAACGAACACACAATTATAATTAAAAGTATGTTAATTAATATAATTTTGAATAAATATTTGTAGGCTAAATCATTCGTGTCCAAGTCCAGAGTATTCTGAGATTTATCCATAAAACCTAAGATATGCCATGACATGGGCTTTTACAGTCACATACATACTAATAAATGCTATCGAAATCGCTTAAGAATCAGATATTGTTTTAATCTTTTCTTTGATCCATCCCTATTCTTCAATCTGTCAGAACTGTCAAACGGTACCTCTTCCATTTAATGGTCGTAGCAGCTGATAGCTGTCATCTGTCAACCATGACAGTCATCGACGCTAGGGTTGTCAAAGTCAATAGATTTATATTACCGGACGGCGACCATGCTTTACATGATTTAAAATTATGTATAAATAAATTGGTGGGGTGACGGATTAAGAATACAGAGTGTCACCACCCCTATTCAGCACGTGGGTGTCGTAAGAACCGACTAAGTGAACAAACTCTGCAGGACAACAGCATTGCAAAAATAATGAAAACTTGAAACAAACCCTATAAAAACCAGTCTGGCGTCCAGCAGTGGACTGTTAGAGGCTGTTGTTGATGATGATGAAATTATAAAAATTATAGCCATAAATTAGGCCTAAGCGCGAATCACCATAAAGAGTAACCTAGTGAACCAAGTTCTTGTTGCAAGTGACAAATATCAGAGCTATGCTTATAAAACGTTTCTTAACCTTTGTCTGTACCCTACTTCAATTCTAGGGGATTTAATTTTCACATTTTCACGCCGGTCCTTCTTAAATACTTTACTTTTGTATTCCATTTTTTACCGTTCCATTTCATAGCACAATTTCTCGTCAATCAACACAACTCAATCATCACCACATCACTCAACTCTACGAAGACAATCGGTGTAACGGAACGTAGTTCTAGTTTTTTTTTTCTTCATTCACCTTCGTTTACTTGTTTCATTGACGTTTTTCTTGTTTGTAAATAATAATTGCTGGAAATAGTACGCAATGTGAAATTATAGGCATTGCTTGGTCGATCGAATATTACGTAAATCCCAAACATCGTTTTCTAATTTAAATATTCGCGTTAGTAATATCCTAACCTATTGTGGGTATCTGATGAAGGTGATCAAGCTATGATACAGTATAATGCCTCAATTTAGAAGAAAAAAGGCATCAAAGTCATTTCCAGTTAAAGTATGTACGCTAGATGCCGAATTGGAATTTAACCTTGAGGTAAGAATTTTGACAAATATTCTGTTACATGCCTAGCAATGTTATTGTTTATTGTGTCGAATTCGGTATGTTAGCGATACTATACATGAGATGAGGAGGCTCATTCTGAGTCGGTCGTGAGTCACCGTTGCCCGCAACAGTCGTAAATTACCCTAATAATACATAGTAGTGATAATTGAGGCCTTGTTTAGTCATCATTTTGTATTCAGTAAGGTGCAGCCTGTACTGTGTATGTATATTTATAGAGCAGATTCGATTCCCGCGCTGTATTAGGAGAAGGAATAAACAATGATAGTAATATCAGTTTAATGTTCACCTGTTTTTTTATATCTAAAAAAATTGAAAGTTTTAAGAATGAGACTAATTCTATCTTACTTAATAATTTTTATAAACTAAGTTTGTCAAACACAATTCCAAGCTTGTTAAAATTCCAGTGTCAATTTGCAAGTACCTTCTCATAGAATAAAATCTAAAGAAGCCACTAACAAATTTTGAACAACTTTCTTAAATCAAATAATTTAGTGTTCTATATTTAAAGAAATAAACTCGTGATGTTAATACAGTTATAATTTGTATGTTAACCACATAAATCACAGTACTATTCCATTTTGGTGGTTATCCTCATGTTAAAATTGTAAATACAATGTAAAAAGTAGGTATGTAACATGCTGTATTTCTTTATATCTACTTGCTTATTGACGTTGCTAGTAATTCATTTCATAAGTCTTGCCTTAGGAATATTTCTTGTACAATATTTGTTTTATGGATACATAACATATACATATATATTTGTTGACTGTATGTTAAAATATAAATGGAAAAATATTTTGCCAAACTCGGAATATCTAGACTGATTTGAATACTTTTTGTTTCACATATCAAATTATAGTCTTAATTAAGTTTTTTGTTAGGAAAAAAGTATAAATATTGACAGAAAATGGGGAATACCATGATAACAAAAACAATTCTTGATAAAAGAAAGTCTGTTGGGACAGCTGGTTATAAATAACTAGCTGACCCGCACATCTTTGTCTGCTTGTCTCAAAAGGACATATTCCCTATTTTTGCCACATTTTCCATTGATACTCAGTTCCTATTGGTTGTAGCAGACTCATAAATGGGCTATCCAACACTAAAATAATTTTTCAATGAGTAGCTTGAGATTAGTGCATTCAAACAAACATACAAACTCCAGCTCCATGATATTGGTATAGATATGAAAAATACAGTACATTGCCAAGTTGTAGCTCAAAGTTCTAAAGTCATAAAATGTACTATTTGGTCTATTATTTTCAAACAATTAACCAAATAATATGACTCATTATTATTATATGCTAACTGTAGTATGGTCAGTTAGACTAACTTAACTTTCGCCCCCCTTTTCACCACTTCAAAGGGTGGTTTCTAGAATAAAAACTAACCTATGTCTTTTCCTGGGACTTAAACTATTGCTATACCAAATTTCATCTAAATTGGTTCAGTAGTTTAAGCATGAAGAGGTACAAAACAGACACCATTTCGCATTTATAATAGTAGTATGGATATGTTTGACATTTGGCAAAGTAATTCTTTTCTTTACTTAGACTTGTTGCTTAGTCTTTTACCAGAAGGAGTCCTGATGTCTTCACTCAATCTTTCCTTTCGCGCAGAGTGGCACGCCGTGTGGTGTTAGTTGGTTCGATTCCGACACACCGGCCCACAATGTCTGCCAACTAACCGTTCTGCAGTCTGGCAGAAACAAAAATATAATTCAATAAACATTTTTCCTTTTGATTTTCTTTAAAAAAAAACTGCAAAACCCAGTGGGGTGATGGCCTGAGGGGATTTCCACATATTGCATGTTGTTAATGATCTTTGATCTATACTTAACCATGTTTATTTGTTATTTATTACATGTATATGTAAACTTTGAGATTGCCAGAGACAAAATCGAACTTCCGATTCTCCTATATGTCCCTATCTATTCTTCATGCTTATGTTAATTTTTATTGCAGTGGCGAGCAACAGGAAGGGATTTATTTGATTTAGTATGCAGAACTATTGGTTTACGAGAGACATGGTTTTTTGGTTTGCAGTTCGAAGACACAAAACACTTTATAAGTTGGCTGAAGTTGGATAAAAGAGGTAATTCATTAGGCGGGTTATTGTTATAATGATATCCAGCACTTGCAGTAAAAATTTAGTATTATTTTATAGATTTTTAAATTTCCATTGATTGATTTTCGAGAGGACCCATTGGAAGCTGCCTGCATCCACCAATGACCAACAATCGTTACCAGGTTGATCTGCACCTGGTTGATAGATTTTTACCACACTTTTCGATCCGTGGTCTATTTGACAACTGTTTGGTCTCATCGACTACTCTTCTGATTGTTGCGTGTCCTGCCCATTGATATTTTAATTTACTGATCTATTAAACTATGGCGGTAAACTTAGTTTGTCTGCATATATTTAAGACGTTTTGTATTATTCATATAGAGTACTAGATAATAGAGAGTACTACACTTCAGTAGTTTTCTTCTTTACAGTAGTTAAATGTTTTTTTTTTATGGAAGAGGGGGCAAATGAGCAGATGAGTCAGTTGATGGAAAGCGACTACCACCGCCCATGAACGCCTGCAACTTAAAAGTCACTAGCGTGTTGCCGGCCTTTTAGAAAGGAGTACACTCTTGCAGAAATCGACTAAGTAATGTAATGCACTAAATCAATTCATTATTTTAAACAGTACAAGACCAATGCGTCTCCCAAATGCCCGGCACTCCTTTCATGCTGCTCTGCAAACTGTATCCTGAAGATGTAGCCGAAGAATTAATCCAGGAAGTGACGCAGCACCTGTTGTTCTTGCAAGTTAAGCAGGCGATACTCCGAATGGATATATATTGTCCACCCGAAGCCTCTGTGCTTCTGGCGAGCTATGCTGTACAGGCTAAGGTTGATATTTTACGTATTGAGTATTTAAGTTTTTTTTCAGAAGCAACAAAATATCATCGATATCAAAAAAAGTCATTTTAAAACACAATTTGTCAACTTTTTGATATGGTGTGTAGTCGATAGTTATCAGTCGAAGTTGGTTTTTGCGCACGATTTTAAATGACTAGACTGGACCCAGAACGTCTAAAAAGTCTGTACAACTTTATTATTATATATATTTTTTTGGATTTGATACCTATTTTGTTTTCTTTTTTCTTTATTTACGGAGCTTAGCCACAATGATGACTACGTCGCTCCATCATAGCCATTTTTTGTTTTAAACTTAACTTAAATATTGAAAATACAAAGTATAAATGTCATTAGCTGTATCCGTCAAAGGAGATTTGATACCTATATTATAAAAATGTTCTAAGAAAATATATGCAAACAGTTAATAGTGTCTATGTAACAAGATTCTGTGATCGAGTGACTGCCTCGGTATTGCAGTGGTAGCGTATGCGACTGCCGTACTGAGGTCTCGGGTTCGATTCCTGGGATGGACCTAATGTTTGTATGATCTGCAAATATTTGTTTCGGAGTTTTGTTATATTGTTGATAGAGTTTACACATATACATATCTCAATAGCAGCATAAAGTCTAAACATGTGACCACTAGGCGACCATAGGTTAGACCTCTATTTCGTAATAACAGGCTAAATTTGTGTAAAAATCTCTGTCCAATGAGTCTGTGAGATGCACAATATAATCAATTTTTTTTTACCTTCAGTATGGTGACTACGATGAAAGTGCATACAAACCTGGCATGTTAGCGAGCGAACATCTACAGGATCTATTACCACAGCGTGTCATCGACCAGTACCAGATGACACCCGAAATGTGGGAGGATCGGATCAAGATATGGTAAGCGAGCAGCTCTACGATACCTAGCCATAGCTCTTATCTCGACTACCTTGATTATTAATAAAGTTTTTATGCTATGTGCTCAGGTATGCAGACCATAAAGGCATGTCGCGAGACGAAGCAGAGATGGAATATCTGAAGATAGCTCAAGATCTTGACATGTATGGTGTTAATTACTTCGTTATTAAAGTAAGTTACTAATAATAAATATTTCACGATTTAAGAATAAATACATTTATTATAGTGAAGTAAAAAGAATATATTCTTCAGTTACAAATTCCATTAGGACAGTCAAAATTTGCATGAATATATTCTGGATCCAATAGGTCAAACTTATGACAATTACAAAGTACCTACGTAATGGAATCAAATACACAACATAATGAAAGTGAATAGAAGAACAATGCATTGGTTGTTGTTTTTATCATTTGTATTGTGTACATTCATCGGCCAATACCATAATTCAAGAATTTAATTTTATTTCGGAACCAATAATTAAGAATAATAATAGCAATTTAGTATGGCCGCCCAAACCGTTTAGTTTTAGAAATAAAACTAACTTGTTAACTTATGAATTCTCTGATGTGTATAAGGGAATAAACATAATTACATTGCTATCTCGTTTCGAGGGGTCTAATATGAGTTTATTTCATATCAACTCGCTCTCGAGCGCCGAGCGCGTTCGGCGTTGTGATTGGTGAAGATTTCAACATCGAATGCGGGTCCGTCGAGAGCGTGTTGATGTGATGTGGCACTGGCCATGCTCATAAACAAACTGACTCAGTGGTACATGATCTCTCTCGTCAAATCTGTGAGGTATAAGATTCTTCATTCATACGCACATTTTTTATTTATTAAAAAGTTTTATTTTTAGAATAAAAAAGACACAGATCTGTATCTCGGCGTGACCGCGTTGGGGCTCAACATATACGAGAAGGACAACAAGCTCACACCTAAGACCACCTTCCCATGGTCTGAAATCAAGCACATTAGTTTCGACGATAAGAAGTTCGTCATTAAGTTTGTTGAGAAGACGACAAACAACTTTATATTTTTTTCACCAAAGGGAATGAATAAATTGGTAAGAATTTTTATTTATTCTATATAATATATAAATGCTCGCATCATTTATAACTATTGAAATATTTGTATTCAATAATTTAAAATTGTATGACAACTATTTAAAGAAAGTCTCGTGATTGTGTGGGTGTAAAGTTGTTACTCATTTATACTGAATTTGTGTATTTTTTTGCCACAAGTATAGTTTCTTATTTTGCTTTAATATGTAGGAACACAGCTTACTACACTTGGGCTTAAAAAATTAAGCTAGGGCTATTATCTACCAAAAATGTGTGTGCTATCTTAAAATGGAGGTACTTACCAAGTCGGGCTGCACCAATCGAAACGGAAATCAGCTGTGTCTACTTCTTTTATAGTGTCACCTTTACTTCCAGTGATGGGTTTCACTCACGGTCAAGGCGATCGAGCTATTAACAAACTGATTGTAAATTTTAGATACTGGACTTATGCATCGGTAATCACGACTTGTACATGCGAAGACGTAAGCCTGATACCATGGAAGTTCAGCAGATGAAAGCACAGGCTAAAGAGGAAAAACAGGTAAATACATATAAATTATAGAAATTATTTAAAACCGTCAATACTTAAAACGGAAAAACAACGCCATGATTTGACACGACGTTACATTACGATGGTAAAATCGTTCACTTTTTTATTACTTAATAGTATTAGTATTCTCTTCCAACTTAACTGATGGAAAGTGGAGGTGAAATCAAGGATCCAAGGGTTCACACCTATCTAAGAGTAAAATATTGTGTAATTATGTAATATAAATCTTAAAATATAAGGGAATTATATCAAAATCTATAATATTGTAATATGTTTTCTAACAAGCTAATTTTTGAAAAAGAAAATCCCAACTGAAAATAAATGCATAAAATGTACAAACCAGCTAGTTTAATTATTATATATTATACTTTGATTGTGAGAGTAATACCCAGAGTTACTCTCACAATTAAAACAAATCCAACGACATCTCCATCACCAAAATCTATCAAGCCGTTTAGGCTACAGAGCGTGCCAAAGAAGAAATATACACATACATACATACGTACATTTTCTGAAAATAATTGTGACATACTATTATTGATTGCAGCGTCGTCAAATCGAACGCAATAAGTTGGCTCGGGAGAAACAGCTGCGTGAAGCGGCGGAGCGAGATCGCCAGGCGATGGAACAGAGGCTGCGCCAGTACCAAGAGGAGATACGGCTCGCCAACGAAGCGCTCGTGAGTAATAGTGTAGCTCTACAGAGTTCTTGTTCTTCTTTCGAATGGGCAAACGAGCAAAAGTCAACTTAAGTCAAAATAGCTGTGTCGTACTTCCTGTTTAGTGTCACCTTTACTTGTAGTGACGGGTTACACTCACATTTAAGGCTCACAAGTGCATTGCCGCATATTGACTCCCTCACTCACATTGTTGACTAAAAAACAACAAAGGAATTGCTTAGCACCGATTTTCCGCCACGACTAAAACTATATTAGAACCTGTAAATCGCTTTTCAAATAATTTGTGATTGCCTGAGTTAGTTGGATAGTAAATATTCAAATAAAATACATACTACTTTTAAGCCATAGGCAAAAATAGTCCATACTAATATTATAAATGCGAAAGTGTGTCTGTCTGTTACCTCTTCACGCTTCAACCGCTGAACCGATTTAGATGAAATTTGCTATAGAGGTAGTCCAAGTCCCTGGAAAGGACATAGGGTAGTTTTTAACGGGGAGGGAAGTTTGTATGGGGAATCAATAACCGCTGAACCGATTTAGATGAAATTTGCTATAGAGGTAGTCCAAGTCCCTGGAAAGGACATAGGGTAGTTTTTAACGGGGAGGGAAGTTTGTATGGGGAATCAATAACCGCTGAACCGATTTAGATGAAATTTGCTATAGAGGTAGTCCAAGTCCCTGGAAAGGACATAGGGTAGTTTTTAACGGGGAGGGAAGTTTGTATGGGGAATCAATAACCGCTGAACCGATTTAGATGAAATTTGCTATAGAGGTAGTCCAAGTCCCTGGAAAGGACATAGGGTAGTTTTTAACGGGGAGGGAAGTTTGTATGGGGAATCAATAACCGCTGAACCGATTTAGATGAAATTTGCTATAGAGGTAGTCCAAGTCCCTGGAAAGGACATAGGGTAGTTTTTAACAGGGAGGGAAGTTTGTATGGGGAATCAATAACCGCTGAACCGATTTAGATGAAATTTGCTATAGAGGTAGTCCAAGTCCCTGGAAAGGACATAGGGTAGTTTTTAACGGGGAGGGAAGTTTGTATGGGGAATCAATAACCGCTGAACCGATTTAGATTAAATTTGCTATAGAGGTAGTCCAAGTCCCTGGAAAGGACATAGGGTAGTTTTTAACGGGGAGGGAAGTTTGTATGGGGAATCAATAACCGCTGAACCGATTTAGATGAAATTTGCTATAGAGGTAGTCCAAGTCCCTGGAAAGGACATAGGGTAGTTTTTAACGGGGAGGGAAGTTTGTATGGGGAATCAATAACCGCTGAACCGATTTAGATGAAATTTGCTATAGAGGTAGTCCAAGTCCCTGGAAAGGACATAGGGTAGTTTCTAACGGGGAGGGAAGTTTGTATGGGGAATCAATAACCGCTGAACCGATTTAGATGAAATTTAGTATGGAGATACTTTGATTCTTGAGGAAAGACTTAGGCTACTTTATACCATTTACGCTGGCGGAGCCGCGGGCAAAAGCTAGTTTATAATAATACATTATCATTGTCCGGCAGCGGCGTTCAGAGGAAACTGCAGAGTTACTGGCAGAAAAGGGGCGAGTGGCGGAAGAAGAGGCGTCGCTGCTGGCGCAGAAGGCAGCCGATGCCGAGCGGGAAAACGCACGGCTGAGGCTATCTGCCATCAAGACCGAAGAGGAGAAAGTAAGTAGTCATTAATATTTTTCAGACATCTAACAGACAACGCTATCTAGTTTTAAACTGAGCAGAGGTTGTGCCATGAAAGCTAACGAAAATTATGCGTTGAAATTATGGTTCACAATTCCAATACTTGCTGCGCCACCTAGTATCGAGTAACGGAAATTTATAGCTAATAGAACTCTGAAATTCTATTTTGTAGGTAGATCTGTATGGAACGTTCTATCGAATCCTCGTGATTACTCTAGTAATTTAGGTAGCCCTATAAGCGGTGCGTGTTGGCCGTAGGGGCGAGTCTTGTTTAAAGTAACAGCAAATTAACATCTAAGCGATTGTCTAGTGCGACTAGAGATATTTAGTTAAGTTATTGTTTGTAAAAGTGTGTGTTTTTAAAAATAGTGCTAAAATTGGTAATATAATTAACCGCCTACTTTTCGTAACAGTAAGTACCCCCCACCTTTTTTTTTTGTTTTCCGTGCGGAAATCCTCTCGGATACCACCTATCGGTGGCATGTCCAACTAAAACCCCCTGAACATCATTTGACGGACCTGTTTGTCTAGTGATTAGTGACCATGACTGCTAATCCGGAGGACGTGGGCTCGATTCCCATCCAGGACTAATGTTGTGTGATGTGCACGATCATTTTTTCTGTATCTCCGTCTAATTTACCTATAATATGTACTTATGTATTTAGAAATTTTTAAGTATGTTTATCAGCAGTTTGTTTACTATAGCATAGAAGTGAATGTATGCATGTATTACTATGTACGAGGGGTGATCAATAAGTAATGATAATCGAGTATTTCTAGAACGCACAAAAACCCAAATTATTTTTTTTCTGCTTGCTTATATATCCACTACTTTAGCTTCAAAAAAATGTATAAATAGGACACCAATACCGGGAGATACATTCATTTGAATACGAACTGTCGAAGAGAAAACATCAAAATGGAGAAAAATGAAATAAGAGCTGTCATCAAGTACCTCTGCCTGAAAAAAATGTCTACCAAAGACATACACAGCGGCTTAGAGGAAACATTGGGGGAGTCTGCTCCTCCATATTCCACAGTCGCACGCTGGGCAAAGGAATTTAAGCTGGGCAGAACCTCCACTGAAGATGAACATCGTGAGGGACGCCCTTCCACGTCCCTTACTGGAGAAAACGTCAAAAAAGTGGAAGATATCGTGTTGGCCGATCGAAGGGTGACCGTAAGGCATGTAGCTGAGGTCACAGGGATCTCCTATGGCAGCGTTCAAAAAATCATTGTCAACAAAATGCATATGAAAAAGGTCTCTGCGCGTTGGGTACCGAGAATGTTAACCGACGAGCAAAAAAAGAAACGAGTCGACATTTCGAGGGTGAATCTTCAAAAGTTCCAGGTCGATAAAGAATTTTTTTTGTCGCGTTTTGTGACCATGGACGAGACCTGGATCCACCACTTTGATCCCGAAACCAAACAACAATCAATGACTTGGAAACGAGCTTCCTCACCAACGCCGAAGAAATTCAAAGTGTCAAGTTCAGCGGGAAAGGTTATGGCGTCTGTTTTCTGGGATGCAGAAGGAATTATTATGGTGGAATATTTGGAAAAGGGGGCCACTATAACAGGCTCTTACTACGCAGGCCAAATAAGAAGATTGCGAGAAGCTATTAAGTCAAAAAGACGCGGTAAACTGCGCGCTGGAGTGCTGTTTCACCAAGACAACGCCCCGGCTCACAAAGCCGCAGTTGCGATGGCTGCCATTGAAGAAACGGGGTTCGAACTGCTCGAACACCCTCCCTATTCGCCAGATCTAGCTCCCAGTGACTTCTACCTCTTTCCTCGGCTCAAAGAACACCTCCGGGGCAACAAATTTGAGGACAATAGTGAAGTGATGGCCGCAGTAGAGGCATTTTGGGAGGGTCAAGACAAAGAATTTTTTTCTAAGGGAATCATGGGCTTAGAAAAAAGATACACTAAATGTATTAACTTGCAAGGAGACTATGTTGAAAAATAAAATACTTTTTTTAATCTAATAGTTCTGTTTCATATTGATTATCATTACTTATTGATCACCCCTCGTATGTATGTGTATGTAAAGTGTCAAGAATGCAGTAGATGACTGTCAAATCAAATCAATATCTTTTATTAAAGGTAAATGATAGACGCGGTATGTTTTTCTTTGAAATACTATGACGTGACGTCATATCTAGCTTCTGTGAAATCATTTATATTTAATGTTGACTTGAAGATATAAACAATAAAAACATTAAATTAATAAAGGAAGACAATTGAGGCTATATTTTTAAGTTAACAACTACAATGTTCAAGCGAAGTAATTTATTTTAAACCTAGGAATGTACCCTATTCTTATATAACAATATAATTATGAAATATATGTATTTACAGGTGCACTTAGAACGAAAGACCCGCGAAGCTGAGTATCTAACGGCCCGTTTAGTCGAAGAGTCGGAGAAACGAGCCGCGGAAGCGGAACGACTGAAGGCGGAACTAGTCTCGGCGCGGGTGGCGGAAAAACAAGCCAAGGAGAAACTACTCAGTTTCCTGAGTAGAACGTCTACTGGGTCACTGCCTCCTGTAAGTGGACATCAATGATCAATTCTTAAAGCAATTCTTCGGCGTTAAGTCAAACAGCCACGATTTATCTCAAATATCATGCCTTTCACTTCTAAAATCATTACATTTACTTATGTCTGTTACTGCACTGTTTAATAGAATCCACATTTTATTTACAAATCAATTTTTTTAAATATTAATTTTTCTATGTAAGTAATAAATTTTCTGTAGAAAACAAATACAACTATAAAAAGTCTGCAAGTAACGCGCGTCCTGTGTTACTGGTAATCTAAATGCACGTATAAAAATCACCTGTCAAGACGAATAGGGCTTGTTAGTGATCGGCAAAGTTGGACAGAATAACAGAACAACTATGTATAATAATAATCTTGACACTATAACTATTTTTTTGCACTAGCAATATAACCAGCTATATGATAGGTGTGGAATGTGAATCCTGACTGTCTGTTTATAGTTCAGTTAAATCAGAAGGCCAATTCTCGTAATAAAAGTTCGGCTACAATTCAGTTCCGATCGACTGTCATAAAAGGCATTTTCGTAGTAAAATAGTTAAGTATTGCTAAGATTAGCAGATTACCGATTCAATTTTCGGTTATGATACGATATAATCACATTACAGTCAACGTTGTACGTAATACTTTACTACGAAAGTACCTTGAATGACAGTTGTGAGATCATAAGTTGATCGGAACAGCATTGAGACCGAACTTTTATTACGAGAATTGGCCTTTTGGAGAACATAAGTGAGCAACTATTTATAAAGTTTTCACGTCACTAACAGATGGATCATACGTCTAGTGAGTGAGAGTCTGGCATAGGTTTTCGATTCCCACATGACACAATGAAATCTGCATTTCTAAAATTGTTCGAGTTTAAGAGCTTGTAAAGGCCCAAATCCTTTGCGCTGGTTAGTGATCTTAAAAATATAAACACAATTAAGTGACCTCAAAATTTGATATTGAATTCTTCATGACCTAGACTTTTCATTCATACAATTATTTAGTTTGAATAAATAAATAAATAAATGCACACATAATAATTAATTTAAATATGAAATGGTAATTCTTTCCTTCTCTTTTGTAGAATTATTTCTTTACAAAAGTAACAGCACGAATTTTTTATGATTTCTACAAAACCCTTTTGCATCTTCCACAGTCCTACAACTCATCATGCTTGCCGGTTGCGGGTACTACGGATCTTACCTTTTTAAAGGACATCACTACTAAGGTCTGTATATGTCCAATTAGGACGTCTTCTCCCTATGGGAACAAAGACGTAAGCTTTTTCCTTAAAAAATATGTTCGATTTATATTATATTCTTTATTTTTCAGTCATCAACAGTCCCTTCAAGCTTGTTCCCTTCTACGTGTTCTCTGCCCGCAGAGCTTGGGGGTGAAGTCCTACAGAATGGCACTACGACAGTCACTGAACCTGAACTAAACTCTTACCAACTCGTTCCGGACGACTCAGATCCTCATATACATAGACTATCATTAGAAATTGAAAAAGAAAGGTGAGATGATCTTATTTCAAACTAATTGAGCGAAAGTTTAAAATGTGTTTACCGATACTGCACCTCTCTTAAGGTCCAATCTGATTGATAGTTCCAGAGATAAGCCTGGTTAACTAAAGAACATAAAGATAGTTTTTTTTGACGGGGATGAAAATCCCTTCTTATCTCCTGCTCCTCGGGGGCTCAGGAGCCAGGAGTATGTGGTGATTCCACTAAAAAACACCCCGACGGTCGGCCTCAGGTGCCCTACTCTGGGAAGACCTAGACCATGTTATTTCAGGTCCTCCCCGAATTGACACCATGACTAATCAGGCCCTAACCCAGGGGAAAAAACACTTCCCCCCTCGATCGCGACCGCGATTATATATACCTTTATATTAAGACTATTACCTATTATATAGTCTATTACAAAATACCTATTATATAATTATATAGTCTATTACAAAATACCTATTATATAATTAATGGCATAAAGTATGAATGGTATGCTTTAAAATTGCACCAGATGTGTACATCTGTACACATCTGTTACTACATGTTTGTAGGTAAGCTGTAGCTTACCTACAAAATCATATTAAAGGAATGATATATTATGTAGTAAATCGCTAATTAGCCCCAGAAATACAGCGAATTCTAACTATTTAAATTAATTTTATATTGTTTGTTTACTTTAGAGTGGAATACTTGGCCAAATCCAAACACTTACAACAACAACTGGATGAGCTACGTTGTGAGTTCTCTGTACTGCGAGTGGACCAGTCTACGGCCACGCTGGACAGGTTGCACGAGGAGCAGACCAGGGCCGGAGACAATAAATACTCTACTCTCAGAAGGCTCAAGCAGGGGTCCACGAAAACCAGAGTCGCTTTCTATGAAGAGCTTTAGAGTGAGTTAATATCTGGCTCTTTAAATTACTAATATTTTTAATATGCCTTTATTAGCTTGGTATGTATGTATGTAACGGAATCTTCGAACGTGATTTTGACCCACTTCAAAACGTCGAATTAAATTGCAATTTCATACGCTTATTAAGGACCGATGATAATAGAATAATTAGATAGATTTGGCCGATTAATCTGATCACGATCTTCAGGATTAACAAGTTTTTCCATACCTAAAAATACGGTATTTCTATACCTATTTCGGGCGGTGTGAGGTTTCAAACGAAAGAATAGTTCGATGGCTGATTTTATTTTGACAGTTACTTTATTACTTTTATGAATTTAAATTGAAACTTAATCGTTTTTGATCAGAAAGTCGGATATTATTGTGACCGTTATGTTATTAATTTTGATGAATTCAATTGCAGGCCATGAAAGGGTCGCTGTCCGCGAGTAGTTTACCTGACAATCTACTCATTCATTTGCGGACAGCATGATTCTTCGCTTTTTTTACTTCTGCGTCATTATCGTAACATAATTATTAAAAAATGTGCCCCGTGCGACGAGGTGGTGCTGGTCGGGTGTCGGGTAGGTCTAATGAGCTATGACCTTACGGAAACTACTACGCAGGACAACAGCACTGCAAAGAGAATTAATACTTGAAAGAAACCCTTTTTTTTTTTAACGTGTGGAAATCCCCTCGGACCGTCACCCCACCGGGGTTTGCGGCGGGGTGGTGTGTCGGACTCGAACCGACTAAAACCACACGGTGTGCCCTCTTTGCGCTTCCAGTTTAGGAGGGGTTCAGGTAGTTATCGCCTTCTGGACCCCTCCTAGCGCCGGCCCGCTCCTATTGCGGGCCCCGTCTCAAAAATTTTTTCCTCTCTTTAGGCGACATCCGGCACACGCGGACGCCGCCCCCTCGCGGCTGGCCAAACTAATGCGGGTGGAGGGGAAACCCACCCCGTCCACCCGCGGCCACACTCAGGGCGGCATGAGGCGCAGGTAAGCGCGCCTCCGCCGCCCGGTTCGCCGGCGGCGAATCAGGTCCGAGTGGAGGTCGTCCTCCCGGGCCTTCTCCGCCGCCTCCTTCTGCGAGATTACCTCCTCGCAAAAGGTTGCGACCGCGGTAAAACAACTGTCGCTACCGGCCATGGAGCGAATTACGGCCGGTAGGGAGAGATCTGCTCCGATGACTGCAGTGAGGACCCGGCGCTGCGTCGCCCATGCGGGGCAGACCGCCAGCGTGTGCTGGGCCGAGTCCTCACTGTAGTCGCAGTGGTGGCAGTCCCTCAGTTCCCTCCTAGCGACCGAGTGCAGGTACTTTCCGAAGCAACCGTGCCCGGAAAGCACCTGCGTCAGCCGGAAGGAAAGAGACCCGTGCTGCCGCCCTGCCCACTCGGCGATGACCGGCTGGAGAGCCTCCACGGCGGCGAAGCCAGCGCGTGGAGTCTCCAGCCGGAACGACCATCTGACCATGGTGGCTCGGCGAGCGGCTTCGCGCCACTCGCGCACGTCCTCGGGCGGAGGGCGAAATCCTTGCCGATAAACTTCGGCGAGCACTTCCGCCTCCAAATCCCACGGGGGTGTTCCGGCCAAGGCGCAAGCCGCCTCGGTGGACACCGTGCGGTATCCGCGTATGGCTCTAACCGCCAATATCCTCTGGGGGCGCCAGAGGCGCGCCCTATTCGGGGCGGTCAGAGCCGCCACCCACACCGGTGCACCATAAAGCGCCATGGACCGGACAACCCCCGCGTACAGCCGCCTCGTGGGAACACTGGCCCCGCCCAAATTGGGCAAAAGTCGCCCTAGGGCGGAGGCAGTGTCCACCAGCTTCGGACCAAGCTGTCGGAAGTGCTCGTCGAAGAGCCACCTACCGTCTAGGACCAGACCCAGGTACCTCATCTGGGCCCGGACCGGTACGAGGACCGAGCTGACCTCGATTGAGGCGCCGGCGGGTGGACCACGACGGGGCCCATGAAATAATAGGGCCTCCGTCTTATCCAGGGCCACCCGTAATCCCAACGCCTCAATGCGTCCGACCACCTGGGAAACTCCCGTGGCGGCCAGGCGCGCCGCCTCCTGGAAGTTAGCCCCCCGGGCCGTGAGTAAGGTGTCATCCGCGTAGCAGATTACACCCAGCCCGGGGGGGAGACGCCCTCGTAGGGCCCAGTCGTACCCGATGTTCCACAGGAGAGGTCCTAGGACAGACCCCTGCGGAACACCGCACGACATGGCCCTGCGTCTCAAGACGCAATTTCGGTCCTCGTACATGACGGTTCGCTCCTCAAGATAATCTGCCACCAGCCGCCTCAGGTACTCTGGCACTCCGTGGTAGCGGAGCGCTTCCCTGATGCAGCTGAATGGCAGACTATTGAAGGCGTTGGCGATGTCCAAGGACACCGCCACTCCGCCGCAGCTCACGGCCTCCTCGGTCACGGCCCTAAGGCGCATTACGGCATCGATCGTCGAACGCCCCGCTCGGAAACCGAATTGGGCGTCCGACAGATCGGGGCCAACCTCGCAAACTTGAAAGAAACCCTATACCAACCCGTCTGGCCAGCGTGGTATAGTAGGCAACAACCTCCTTTCTAAAGAAAGACCTATTTCCAGCAGCGGTCTATTAATTGCTGTTGATGATAATGACCAACCGCTTTACTGGTATTAACTGTCTTAAATGAAATAATGACTTACAGACTTTAAATTCTTATTTATCCATTTAATTTATCCATGATTGTTATTTTCAGGTAAACGACACAAATCTCATTCGCACAATACGTGATCAAATGACAATAAGAATTAATAGTTAAATTTATCCACTTAGGAGTAAGTGACGAAGTTGTACAGCACAACGAACGTATGTATAATAATAATACCAGGTTAAGTAACTATACAAATTAAAGGATAGGTGTTCATCATTTATCAGTTTAGTCATTCTGGACACTGGTTTATCTGACGGAGCCTGTATAAAGTGGGAGTTAGGAGAATCTATGATCATGTTTATCGGCCTGTATGGTATAACGTTTACACTTGCTCTATAAAAAGAAGTAATTTGATATCGGAAGTTTTAATATTGTTGATTTATATGCGTCACTTCTTGTAACATTGACAAAAACGAAGGCATAATTATTACATGATGAATGGCTTATGACCATTATTTTAGAATATTTAAATGTAGAATAAAGCTAAAATTTACAAACAGTATTTGAAAATGATGAAAATGTGATATATAAATTTTTGAACTGCAACTCAAACTACTTTCTACCTCCAAAAAGAAATCTTCCCATATCTATTCTCTCAAAAAACACTCTGATTTATCTGTTAAACTTAAAACTAATAAGTATTTGCTGTTAATTTTAACTGAATATATAAATACTTAATAAACCTTCATACGTTCCCAAAAAAGATCTTGACAGACAGACGAATAGTAGATAATTCCATTGTTCTTTTTATTGAGAAACGGAACCGTAATTTTAACTACTGTACAATAATAAACAAAAATTACCTAACCGAGTACCTTAATTCCTGAAAAGAGTTACAATTAATTTTAAATTCAAGTACTCTGTTGGACAAAGATAGCATGAAAGTTAATTGCCCTAAATTTTCGTTAAATCATCCTTTACCACTTTATATAGGTACTATAATAGCGTCACATTTAATAACTGTAATCTGCGTTTTCCAACGGTATCGACAAATTATCTAGGTGATGTGTTTGTATATATGTAGGTGTTTAGGTTAAACGTTATATCAGTCGTAGTTCCTAGAAAACATGTATAAAATTTTGTAACGGTGCCTTATAAAATATGAACTAACTATCGACTATGTTTAGGTGTCAAATGGATATTAAAAATATAATATTTTATGTTTTTATTAATTGTTTATATAAACATAATAATATGTTGTTTGTATAATATAAAGAAAAAACAGTCACTGTATGTTAAAGGGCACGGATCTCTATTATTTCGATGCAATGTTTTAGAATAATAATGTTTTATAAAAACAACTAATCTGTTTATATTATTAACAATGTTTTAGTATTTTTTTATAATACAAAAGTATGTTTAAACGAAAAAACTACATCTCTTTGGTGTATTTAAAATAACCTTTTAAACCAAAAATTAACTTGATCTGTTGTACACTAACAATATTATGAAAACATGTTCATGTAAGTTTATGAAGTCTATGCTTATACTCTTAACAAGAAAATCAAATATTTTATATTTTAAATAGTATTTTATAAAAAATATCGCACATAATTATTATTGCTAAGGAACTTTTTCAAAACGATTTGGCTAAAAATAGGATAGGTATTGCATTTTAACATAAAATCAAATATATTCGTGATCAATGTTTTAGGGTATCTGTTGAAAATAAATAATAGTATCAAATAACTCATTGATTAGGAGGATCCTGTAACGAGTCTAAAATTACCCAAATGTTGTAATTATTACACTATGCAAAGATAAGTTTTTTAGTGTGCTATGCAGGATCAGTATAATTTACTTGTTCGTCTTGCCTTAGCTAAAATGGTCCTGAAGTATGTCTTTGCAGAATTCAAATTGAGCCACGCTCTATCGAAACCAACACTGTAAGTGATAAAAGTAAGTAGTATGTTCACAAAGTTAAGTGCTATCTACCTTATTTTTAGTCAAATCAGCCAAATCGGTGATGTGTAACTGAATTATTTAAGTTACCTCATGTCTACAAGCTTCGGCTGAGATTCGAGATTTCTGTTATACTAGAATTTTGTTGATTGTAAGGTTACTCACTTAAATATAATCGTTACAATCGTTTATATCTATATATATATTAATTATAATTGTTACTATAATTAATTTTTACCAGTGAATGTATTAGTATAACACATCATGGACAATAGGTTATAACCAGTGGTATTGAAATGTATCTGTGTTTTGCCTCATTTGTATATATAGCTATGTTCTAATAATCCAATATAACCAATCTATAATACAATTTATTTTTAATAATTAGCAAAGAGAGGAA